CGGTACGAATCGCCTTCCCTGGGGCTTAGGGACTTAGGGGGAGAGGGTGGTGAGGTGGTCTCCTCGTTTGGGCTCCGTCGGTGGGAAGTTGTGTGAGAAACGCGGGTTCCAGACCTTCCTCCCCGTAGGAGAGGGTCGGTGGGTACCACTGAGGGCGTTAGACACACGCCAACTGCAGAAACCGGGCTGTCCATCGTCCAGTCGAAGTCCTTTCTGGTCTTCAGTTTCTTCAGATAACTCGGTGTTTCGTTCTGAACCCAGGAGAACAGCCCCAGACGCCTAGCGCTGAGTAGACTTAACATGGGTTTGACTCTGGAGCTGTTGTCAGAGTCTCTGTTTCAAAGCCACCGTTGCCAAGTTTGTTGCTGAAAAGAAGTTTATGTAGCTGGGGAAGGAAGATCTTAGAGCAGAGAGACTCTCCTAGTTAGACCTTGATGAAAATTGGGGGAGGAAGGCTACACAGAGCTTGCAGTCAAAGGTTTATTGGGTGTTTTCTTACCAAAATACATCGTCATTATCACGGAATTGTCAGAGCTGGAAAGGACCTCTAGAGATCATCTGGTCCTTTCAGCTCTTTTCCCACTTTGCATGTTTCTTCTTGTACGAAAAAGAAACTTTACGTGTTTCTTTTACAAGATTTTTCCATTTTATATAAGTAAAGACCCAAGTCCTTATCTTGTTTACGTGGTGTGTTTCTTGTCTCAGGACCATCTGTAGTTAAGATGTCACCATCCATATGTGTACAAGAGATAACAAGTAAACTGAAAGATGGTCCTGTGTTTACTCCTCGCTGAATCAGGATTCACTTCTCCCCCAATACTTAAGAGACCAGTAAATTTTCTGTTGTACCTGATGATTTAAGCACTAGTGAGGAATGCAGGCAAATTTTTGGGCTTAATTGGAGGCCCAGAACACGCACTAAGTATGGTTTAATGAGATTGAAAAGTATCAGAATATAATAAACCCCAAACTTTTAATTTATCTTCTCCTTCTTCCAGTATCATATAAAGAATAATGATGTAATAGCAAATTTACTCCCTATGAAATCCCTGTTCCCACCTCTTGGGTTTTGCAGAAGTTCAGGGATGCTGTGTTGAGATGGTCGCTGCAATTAGCTGCCATTAGGAGAAACAGCTTATTGGTGCCTGTATGCCACTCCAATAGGCAATTTTGTTGTTTGTCATATTAATAGCATAAACATCTTTTTCAGAGCTAATTAAACTTTTAGATCACACTTACAGCAACGTTATAGTCTGATTGTAGCATTCAGCAAATGTTACATTCTGATGTGCCTGCTTTATCTATTTTCTTTTTGTCTTCTGTCTTCTGTTGGTAATGGTTTCTAACAGAAAAGCGTGAGAAATGCTTCTGCCTTTTTCAGCTGATCACTTAAAATGATTAAGCTTTGCATTGTTCATTGTTGCTAGGAAAATATTAGGAAAACTATTGAGCAGTTTTTCTCCATGTATGAATGGCTGTTTCAAAATCTATAAATTGTGCCTTTGTAATTCCTTGTTTGTATAACCACTAGGTGTATTTTCAGAAGATAACCATATTGATATATGATGAAATTTGTGTTTACTGCTATTACATAACAGAAAAATTTACGCATGTGTGAGCTATAAAGCAGAAATACAAATGTATTACTGACAGGATATGTGCTGCTAAAAATGTATATATAGATGCTGTCATTTCAATTTTCAGAAGAAAATGCTGTCTTTTAACTGCAGAAGAACAAGGCTTTGTCTTCCTGTAATTCTGAAGTGAAAGTTGTCATCAACAAGAAAACTAAAACCTTTTAAAGATAGGAGTTAGTAGTAGAATGCTGAAACAAACTTCTGGATTAGCTTCATTGGCTTTCCTGCTTCTTTTGCATCCCAAAGCATAAGCTTAAATCGTCTCAGAAGGACAAGGTGCGCCAGTTTATGGCATTTACCCAGGCTGGTGAAAGGACTGCTATATACTGCTTAATGCAGAATGAGTGGAAACTAGAAGTGGCAACAGACAACTACTTCCAGAATCCAGACTTGTACTACAAAGAATCCATGAAAAATTCAGTGGACAAGAAGAAATTAGAGCAATTGTATAATCGATACAAAGGTAAGGCTTGGGTTTTTTTTGTTGTGGGTTTGGGGTTTTTTCTAATTATTTTGCTTGAATGATATTTCTGCTTTTCCCTCTGTCATTCTTAAGGACTTCTAAGGAAAGGTTGCTAGCTTTTGCTTCTCGCTCTGTCTTTGTGGTAATGAGATAAGAATGAAAAAGGTTTAAAATGCTCTTAATGTTCAGTACACAACTTCTGTAGGTATTTCTGTAGCGTTTAAAGTAAATTCACAGTAGGAAATTAAACCTATCATGAGGAAATAGTGTCAGCTGCATATGGGGGAGAGTAAAGCTTATTGTGCGATTTATTTGATGTATTGCCAGTGGCTGTTGTTAAATATATGTACAGTGTACTTTGTGTGGCAAAATAGTACATACTATTCTTAAACTAATATTTGGGGGAATTAATTCTGTTCAATGACAGTAGTATTTCTATACATTAAAGTAAAACTTGTTTCAGATAACATTACAGCTAGGAGTCTGACAAAACAGTCAAATAAGAAAACTTAAAAACTAGTCATAGAAACTCCATCGTTATTTTATTCTTTGTGCTGCCATATTACAGCACAAGTAAAAGCACTGTGCCTGTTCAGAAAGGCTTGGAGGGAAAACTGTAGGGAAGTGGATTAAAGGCAGAGTTGTTTCTTTTCTCTTTATTTTACAGCCTTGTTAAAAAGAACAGTAAAAATAAAAGATAGTCATGTAAATATAAGAATGTACGTGACCCAGGTAACAGTGCTTTCTGCCTGACATGAATGTGTGCCTTGTTCATTATATGTTAGAGCAGAGTGGGTTGGAATCATTACCAGCCCCTGCTGAGATCTATACATCTTGTTTTAAAAAACGAACACTTCACAATGACTCTACTATGACTTTATGTACTTTTAGAATTGCAGTGTATGGCATGCTTTGTATACACTTTGTCCTGTTCGTATGATGTGGTTTCCACCTTTTTTTTGTTACTCTTTACATGTGTTCTATTTTAAGTATAGATATTCTTTAATATTTCATTATTATCTGGTAATTAGTTGCGTAGGGAAAAAGAACTAGCAACACTGTAGCCTTTCCTTTGGGAAAAAAAGCCCTAATGAACCACATTTTTAAAAGTTGTTTTATATATTCATATATATACATAACATATATATATGTAAATCTTTTGCTTATTCCTTGCATGTCAGTCTTGGAGATTGCTGGGTCAAAAATATATACAAATTCATAAATGCTACTAAGAATATCTAAAAAGAAAAAAAAAGCCACAAATGTTATTTATTATTTGTCATTTTCTAGCAGTAGCAAACTATACCATTTGGCTTTTGTGAAATAAAGTCTAGTTGGTTTTATGTCAGTGTTATGGTTGCAGCACACCTTTGCAGTTATAGCATTTTAACACTTAAGTTGTAAACTTGAGCAAAACATTCACAAGATTTGAGAGAAGACAATAAAAGGTTTGGTTAAGGACTTTTCCTTTTTTTTATATGTAGCTTAAGCCCAAGTTGTTTGCCTTGCAACCACAAGGAATTCCTTTGTCCTACAGGGCCTATAGAATATTGTATATATTGCACTGTTTTTGAAATCTGAGATGAGAGGTTGTTCATTTTCTGTGCTTTTTGTTAGTTTTCTTATCTGTTTATCCAGCAACTCTGTCAAAACAATTTCATTATTATTCCTCGTTACCTGGATGGCATGAAACATGATAACGATGAAAGATATATGGTTTAAAACCATCAGAATTTTTCCACTGATTTCAACACTAGTGCACTTTTTGCCTTCAGTTCTTAAATTACTCCCCAAATATACAAAAAGTGCATTTTACATGTCTTAGAACCGGATCTGGCATACAGTGGGATAGATATGATTATTTGTTATTCCTGCTCAAAGGTCTCTGAATTATACCATGGGTGTAATTCCTTGTTTAATGGGTCTAAGTCTTTGCTAAATTAACTTCCCTGTGTGATAGCATTTCTTCCACTGTAGTATTGGCTGGAAAAGTGGAAGAGATCTTAGCTTAACAGGCCCCCCACCCCCAAAAAAAAGTTTTATTTTGTATTGATTTATTATTTTCTTTATCAAGTTATTATCCTTGGATACAGACTTAACAGCGTGGTTGAAAATCTTACCAGTTAAGGAGTTAGTCTTAAATTTACTTGATTTAGGATACTGAAATATTTTCCTGTCAAAAGCTGGGAAAGACAGTTTCTTAGTTTGTAAATTGTCAACCTTTGAAAACTACAGGTGGTTGGCTTTCTGGGTTGGTTTTAGGGTTTTTTTCTTTTTGGGTGGCTTTTTTTCCCCCCGCCAATTAGTTAAGCTTGCATGTAGAGGGATTTGTTTGTTTGAGGTTTTTTTTGAGAAAGAATTTTGTTACAGTAACAGAGTTGTTACAGTGACAACTATCCTGAGGTAGGTAGTTAACCAATGGTACTGACCTTCAGAAAGGTAGTAAACTTTGTGTTACTGAAACATAGTATTTCCTAAGTTATATCCTTTAGCTTAAGGACCTGTTACGCTAAATCATTGTGCGGGCAATGTTTTGGTGGTTTCCCTGACTTATAGCTAAAACCCAAAAATGTTTGAGTTAATTGTGGTCCTTAAACAGTTATAGAGGATTTGCATATGTCCCTATCAGGAAAAAAAATCTGTGGGCTCACTTGGGAGGTGGTTTTTTATTGGATTTTTTGTTTGCTTTTGTTTTTCTTTAAAAGTTTAATACGTGCTAACCAGTAAGTATCTTGTACGTTTTGATGTGTTTATCAGGCTTACTGGTTTTAGATGTCAGGCATCTCCTCGGCTAATTCAGATCTTTCATAGAGCATTGTGGAGAGAAGACAAAACTATTTCATTGGCGTTAGCTGATGAGTTTAGGAAAAAGTTGCAAATCAATTTCTAGGGAAGCTTGCAGAATGCCTGATTTATTTAAAGATACTCTTCAAGATACTTCTAAAATTAACTAGATTTCAAGTGAAGACATTTGTGAAGCTTATGAAAAAATGAAAGCCTGTGTCATGCAATATATTAAAGCTGTGCAGATGGTTATTTGTAAATAGCTTTTGTAAATAATTACAATTCCCCTCTCTCTGTTTTGAACTGCAGACCCACAAGATGAAAATAAAATTGGTATTGATGGGATTCAACAGTTCTGTGATGATTTAAGCCTAGATCCAGCCAGTATCAGTGTTCTGGTTGTAGCATGGAAGTTCAGGGCAGCTACTCAATGTGAATTCAGCAAAAAGGAATTTGTTGATGGCATGACAGAGTTGGGGTAAGTATCCATTTCTGCACAGTTCAAAATGTAAGGCCTGAATTCCATGTCTGTTTAAAACATTTTTAATTGAATAAAGTGTGAAGCTTCAAAAAGCTGGTAAGTCTAGTGCCAAGCTTAGTAGGTGCGAAATGCCTGTAGTGTTCCATCTTCCATAAATTGGTGATTCACTGGAAAGCCTTAACAATGACCCTTCACAAGGGTGAAGCAAAATAATGCCTACCTGTACAGCAACGAAGACAGACAGATATGCTGATCTTTTCAGGTAATTCATATAAACATATGCATGGTTGTGTTATGGTTTTGTGTGCTGTTAAAAGCTGGAAGTCACTGGAGATATGTGAAGGGAGAAAAAAAAAGTTCAGTCAGAAAAGAAATAGGAAAGCAGAAAAGAACGTTATTGTTTCCCTTTGCTGTATCACCACCAAGTGCAACTTCTTTCTTTTTACATTTGCAAACCATACTTTTCTCTTATTGCCTTGTATACTAGATAATTCATTTGTACAGAATATCTATAAGAAATTGAAATTAAAAATTGTGATATCAGTAGCAGAAAAGATTTAGTCAAACTGTGATGTAACTGATTTATTTTTTTTCTCCTTCCTGGATTATGGAACTGTTCTGAATAATAGAGCTTGAGGTCAAACCGTGCTGCCTCTGTTCAGCAATAAAGGCAAGCATTTATCACCATAAAATATCTTGTGTATAACTTTTCCTTGGAAGAGATGCAGTATTTCAAATATATAAAGGTGTCAAAAAGATAATTGTTTTTTTTAAACAGATTACATTAAATAGGTGGAGAATTACAGGTTATTACTTGTGCATATTTTTTTTGTAGCTAAATAATTTTATTTGGTCTTACAATGGGTGCCTTATCAATACTCTTCTACAGACACCAGCTTCTAGCAAATGTGGTGGTTGTTTCCTGAGCAGGGGTCCTAGCAGTCTGTTGTCACTGACCTCAGTGGTTATTGACTTCTTTCTAAGCTTTCCTTTTTTAGGTGAGAGTATTCAGAAATTGTGATAAAATAACTTCTGATATCATCTGAAGTCCACTGCTTTATTTCGTCCCTTTGGGTAGAAACTGTTTTCTACCCAATCAACAGCAATCAAGTGCTCATGCTGTTATATTAAAGGCTGGCAGCATTATTTGATGTAACTGATTAAAAAGGTTTTGCTAAGCCACCAGCCTTCTGGCTTGGATTTTGTTTTGTAACTTTATTGTCACGTTGCTCCTATGTCCTCGTGACTATCTCTGATACAGCTTCACGGAGGTCTGTGGTTTATTTTTTTTATCTCTTTCTGGTCAACACAGTGATCTTGGGAGCATAATCTAATCATACCTGCTTGCTACTGGTATGCTGCTTATTGAGAATTTGGAATGATTTTGTTACATGCTGGAGGTGCAGTGTCTGTGGTTTTTAACATTAAACATGGCTGAAGATTTGAAGGAAAAGAAACTCCCTGAGGCTTAGTTCATATAGCACCTTAGGATACATATGGGAAGGTATGAGATTTGTCCCTAGTGTTAATTAGATCAAGTCCCCATGAAACTGAAGTTCTGAGTTGAAGACTCTTGGCAGAATTCTTTATCTTCTCCACCAGGTACTGCAGGAGGCCAGAAAGGTACTTATTTTTATCTGTACCGTGCAAGACAGTTAAAACTGCATCTGCATTTTATGGATTTCGCTGTAGTTCTCCATTCTTTAGTAATTCTTGAATCTTTAGAATAAGTGCAAATATTTAGTGACTGAGAACTTTCAAATGCAAGATGGTAGTTATGATAACTGCTTCTTTGAAACCTATTTCCTTCTCTTCAAATTTCCAGGTACAATTCAAAAATATTGATAATATCCCATAAACCTTGAATGTTCATTTGATTCCTTAGCAGGGGTGAAAACCCTTTTTCATTTAAAATTGCATCTCATCAGCTCAGGGGCAGTCACTGAAAAGTGCTCCAGTCTTGTGTTATTCAGGTATTCCTGTTAGAATCTCAATAACTTGCTTCTGTCTTAGCTTTCCCATGCCAGGCTGATACCTGGTTTGTCAGCCTTCAACCTATTGTCAAAGGCTCATCTTTTTCCTAGGTTTTATCTACAAGTGTTCTGTGGTGGGGAGAGGATGACTGCAAATCATAGTTCATTTTGTTGGAAAGGCTTCTTATGTTAAAATTAACTGTAAACATAGCATGCAGCCCTTTGTTCAGGTAGAGCAGGGAATAAGTGATGTCTATCTAGATTAAAGCAAAAACCCACGCCCTTGTGTTACAACACCTATAAAAGGGGAAAGGATAGCAGATTCTGGTGGGGTTTATATGTTATGTTCCACTTAAAGTTGTTTAGTAAAGGCATATGAGCATTTATATATTTTTAAAAATGCTATCCAGACAGATACTCTGTTTTTATCTTAACTACTGTTTTATTTTGCTCTGAAACTAAACCTTACAAAAATAAAAAAAAAAAAAAAAAAAAAAGGTAAAAAGAAATCTTAAATATTTACAAATAATGTAACCTCTTTTGAACAGGTGTGACACCACAGAAAAATTAAAAGCTCTATTGCCAAGACTGGAACAAGAGCTAAAGGATCCAACAAAGTTCAAAGACTTTTATCAGTTTACTTTTAACTTTGCTAAAAACCCTGGACAAAAAGGTTTAGGTAAGTAGAAAAAAAATCAAGAAAATAACATGTAGACAGTGAGGTCAATTCCAAATACTTACAATAACAGCTTTCTCGTTGATGATTGTATAGTAAATTCATTATTGATTTCTTTCGCTGACTTCTCTTTCCCATCTTCTTTCAATTAATCTCTTCTTTAGTGGCCCCTTGGTAGAGATAATTTAGTGAGGTTTTCTACTACTATTGACATTCTCTGTCCTCTTGTCAAAGGAAGTTCCTGTAGTTCTCAGAGACCTGTCATAATGTTTTTTTTTAAAGGCTGATGTGGTGAGCTCCTTGTGTTTTCTGTTTTGTTCAGAAAAGAATTGAAACAAGATATCCGCATCAGCTTAAAAAGACGAAGAAAACTCTGGGAAAAAGTTACTCTTCTAAGAATTTTTAGGTTTAGTTCACAGTTCTCATGTAAAGTTTAGAAAAAGAGTATTATGGACTTGGTTCAAAGCTAGTGACTAGAAATAGGCACATAGTTGATAAAGGATTAAATTATTATTCTCTATAAAGTTTGAGATTTGTCCCCATCCGTGACTTGTATTGCTGGAGTAAAATGGATACATTATTTAAATTCCAATGTTTTATTCTCTTCAAATCAAAAATATAGTTGAAAACATTGTAGGATGAAATCTGATATCCTTTCAAATTTATGTCCACTTTCAAAAGGAAGGGATTAAATTGTGTTGTGTGTAGAATAGCACCATACCATCAGCACTGTTCTCTTTGTGCTTTGGGTAAGAGGAAGTGGGGTGGGTTTTTTTAGCGTAGCCATTTTAACTCTGTGTCTATGTTACTTGGCAAGCACGTTAATAAATACTGTTTCTCAAAACCTGGTGGAAGAGGAGTGAGATGGAGGGACAGAATGTCCTTTTAGACCTTCTCAACCAGAGGTGTCTGTTCCACATTATTCCTTGGGAGTTACTTTGAATAATAGCTCTTGTCTTTCCTAGTGTTTTTGCAGCAATTTCATTTTTCATTACACGTGTCACTCTTTCATGGGTCACATGCCACCTTTCTAGACGCAAAAATGATATAATCTTGTAGTGGTTCTGTGAGGCTTGTTGGAATTCAGGTCCCTTAGCTAGTTGTTCATTTTCTTGCCTCTGTTCCTTGAAAAGCCTAGTCCTTTCAGATTGCGGAAAAGGTAAGTCAGTTACAGCTGAAGTTGGAATTTATGAGATACCTAAAGAAATATTACAAATAGCTTCCTGTTTTACTTGGATCAGCTCCAACGTGAAACTCATGTACTTGGGGAAATATGTCTCAAGAACTTGTCAGCTAAGCCTGTACGAAGAGAGGAGGGAAGGTGGCCCAACCCAGATTATGGAACTGAATGTACTGTTTATTTGACATGAGAGGAAAAAGGAAACTTACTTGTTTTCCATTACTTCTGCTTATTTGATATGGAGGCATCTCCATTTGTAAGCCTCTCTTCTCTTTTATGTAAGAATTGTACTTTTTGGCAATAAAACACTTAAGTACCTTCTTGCACTAGGAGTTGAAGTATTAGCAGGAGAAAGAAAGAAGTGCAAAAATCAAAGTTAAGCTTAAAATAAACCCTAGAAAGAGCTGGTTGGAACTGTTGCTGGTTTCAGTTTTCAGGAATTTTAATAATTCTGGTAGTACTGTTTCTTAATTTCAAGTAGTGCTTAGTTCTTAAGTAGCATTATTTTGGTGATATTTTTGTCAGACTTTTTCTGGTTTTGCAAACATGGTTGTAGATACTAAAGAAATAGAAGCAGGTGCCATTGCTTTTATTTCAGTGGAGATACACCACATTTCTGTCTCGTGTGAACTTGGTTCGCTGCAGGTCGAGTAGAAAGAGAATGCTGAGCAAGCATGTTGACTAATATGATGGTTTTGGGTGATAAGGGTCAGTGATAGCTTATCCAAATAAAACATAACACTGTATAGGTTTGGAGTTGGAATCTTTTCAGGGAATGCCGTTATATTCAATGGAGCAGAGAGATGGAGGAAAAAATAAATTTACAAGTTGGCGTTTACAATTTACTGCTTCCTGCCACAATTATCCTAAGAGTTATGTTTGTTCTCTTTCAGCAAAAAGGTGTTCAGCAAGGAAAAAAAATCAGTCAGTTATCTTACAGCAGGGGCTATAGGAGCTGAGGCTTCTAGTTGCTTCAGCTTAATTTAATACATTTAGGTGCTTTTTTTGTTTTCCTTCCTCTTCTCTGTATACATTATGTATTTTCTCCTAGAATAAGAAACTGTCCATCTTCCTTCCTTCTACAACTAGTGTAGAGGTATTTGATGCTTGCATCCCAATGACCGTATCCCCTGTCAAGGAGACAGGGGAATTTGTCTTATCCACGTACAAAGTCTGTTTCTCTCTTACTAAGTTTGGAGCTTTGGCTCAGGATGCTTTTATGATTTCAGTCCAGATAGTTAAACAAAATGTACATTTAGATTTGTTGCCAAATGAGCTGGTATAAATCTCTGTCTAGATCTGTCCAGGTCATCTTAAGATGTTGACCTCCCCTTCTTCCCCACGTGCATACTAGATGACACACAGTGCTACCTAAGTAAAGGATGCTGCTAAGCCATTACCCTAGCTGCTTGCCTTAAAGTGTTCCTGGTGACATGCTCCTAGGATAGTGCTTGTGTGCTCATTCCCATATGTTCATGTTTGAATTATGATTTGAAGACTAAGAGGTCACTAGGTTTATGGAAAGTAGGGATAAAAATGAATGGTTCTATTTAATGAAGTGGAAATAATCAAAGGAATTGTTCCCTGACTTTCAATTACAAAATATTTTAATGTGATTTTTCTGGGGGGTGAAGTGTCCATTGCTTCCTCTTATTACACTTGGAGCTTAAATCACTGTCTGGTAGCTGTTGCACTCATTGTTTAGGGGGGTTAAAAGAATATTGCTTGATTCTCAGGTATACGCATGACCCGTGAATACACCCTCATTGAAACCTAAGCAAATTTGACATAGTGCCAGTGATAAATGGGGAATTCTTACTTTTAGCAGATTGTTAATAAAACCTTTTTATAAAAGAAGGCACAATTGAAATAGTCCTTCTGTTGGATCCTTCAGACTAAGTGCTAACACATCTTTATTTAACAGAAATAAAACATGAGACTAGAGCTTACCAGAATAATGTCTGTGATAGGCAAAGATTTTATGCAATTATTTTTCATGTTTATTATCTTAACATGTTGAAACTATAAGAAATGACTGAAATATCTTTAAAATGTCCAAACACCTGTGCTTTGGTTAGGACTCTGTCAGTACTTTACGATGTTTCCACTTACTTTTTCTTTTTTAAATCTATTTCTGCTGTTTCAATAAGTGATAAGCAGCAGTTATTACTTTAATTTTGCCACATCTTCCCTGAAGAACATCAGGAAATACAATGATTCATGGGTTCCTTTTCAATATGCCAGATGGTCATTAAATTTAAAAGATAGAGAAACACTTACATGGTGTATTCCCTTGTGCCAGACAGGATCAATGTCTACTAAAACCATTCCTTGCAGACGTTTTTCTAACCAAGTGTCCAGTGGTATGCTAGCAATATATACTAATTTGCCTTTTCAGTTTCAGTATTGATCAGCAAGATCTGAGATCTGACTGGAGTGGTCCTCTAGCTGAAAAAGTTTGGAAGCTGCTGCTTTAACATAATATGATCTTAAGTTTCTGATGGCAGATGTCACACATCTATGTTTGTGCCTGCTAAAACCTATTGTTAGATTTATTTTTTTCTCCTAGTGAATAACTTAAATCTCTGTTCCTGAATTCTTCAGTTCATTACTTACCTGGCCAGAGTAAGTATGTAGAATGCGTGTTTCCTTAGAGTTAGTAACAACTTTTTATGTATTTGGCAACTAAAATGCATCTTCTTTTAGCCTCTAGGCTGCATAAAGCCAACTGCCCCGTTAAATTTTATCTTCCAGCTCTCTGATACTGGAATTGTATCTTCCAACTCTCTTTTCCTTTGCAATCCAATTGATCTATCTTTCTCTTGTCTAGCAGAGCCCAAACAAGCTAGGTATCTTTGATGTGCCTTAGATATTTTGCTCCTCGTTTTACTTCCCATTATTACATCTGCTTATATTAATAACACTGATGCTGTCTGCAGTTTGTGATCTGTTATATTACTGGGTTTCTGCAGATCTGCAATGCACCCAGGTAATTCTGATCTTGTATCTCTGCAGTTGATTACTCCCACCAGACTTTGCACCTCTCTTTAATGAAACCTTTCTTATTTACTTCCAAGTGGTTTTCCAATTTGTCCAAATAATTTTGAATTCTAATCCTGTCCTCTACCATGCTATACTCTTTTCAGGCTTTGTATGAGTTGCAGATTTAATAAGTTTTCTTTGTTCTGTCATCTGAGTTACTTAAGTATTGTGCCACGTTAGATACAGGATTGACATTCATGGACGAGTTACTTCCTCTCAGTTTGTCAGAGAACCACTGAGGTTCTTCTAGAACCCCCTTTGACCTCTATGAAGTCTCAGAGATGGTAGGTAGAAGTTTGAGGTTGCTTCAGCATACTGAGATGAATTTCACCATGTCTAGCTTCACTTGGGACACCATTGCTTTCAGACTGAATTTCTAAAAGTTGTTTCTGAGCTTACTGTTAGTTTTCATTGAACCTTTTTGCCTGCAGCATATCTTGAAAAAAATCTCTTTTGTATCCCAAATGTTTATTTTTTGGGGATATATCAGCAGGAAGCATAATATCTTTTCTTTAACCAGCTGCTATTTGTATGTGAGGGAGTGGGAAGGTACAGAAGCACTTTTTAGAAGTTTTTTTGGTGATGGAAGAATTTTGGTGGTACCCAACGCAGTCATCTTCATAGTGCAATGGATTTCACTCCAGGCAAGTGGTGCTGGGGGCAGGTGCTTGTGTGCAGTTTTGTGTTTTATTTATTTTCAGAACAGCCTGTCTTCCATTGCTTTTTAATTTCTTCTTATTCTACAGTTCCCCTCCAAACCAATGCAGTAAATTCTGCCCTCATGTAATTAGATGGGAAGAATCTTCTCCAATAAAGTTGAGTCTTCTGTCATTCTCCAAAATAGTACAAAGTTCAGTGAATCAATACTCATTCCTAGAAATAGGACTACCTTTTACAGGAGTCCCTTTTCCACAGCTCATGTGGTGATACTAGAGATTTTTTGTTTTTCTTTATATCTGCAGGATTTCTGTCTCCATAGTTTCATTCAACTTGAATGTTTCCATTTACTTGTATTAGCTTAATATCATCAAGTAATATGCTTCAGTCTGGACACGTGCTGCTCAAAGAAGTAAAAGTAGTATCTAAGAAAAAAGTGTAAAAAAGAAAATATAACTGTTAATACTATTGCTTTCTAAGTGGTGGGCAGAATTCCAGAAAAAAAGATAGCAGGGTCTCAACACAACAGTGACATCCCAAGTTGTGTCTTGGCCCTGGCAGGCTTAATATTTAGATATATTAAACTTCATCTGAGTGTTTTATATATATTTTGAGATAATGTAAAAGGTGCAGTTTATTAAGTTCTCATTTGCCAGGAAACTTTTACAAAGAATTGTTCTGGATAACTGTGATTCTGTCTGTTTAATCTGTGCTCTCATGTTCTCACTACTATATTTAGTACAATAAATCTTCCAAGTTTTGCATGGTGCAGATTTGGAGAGGTTTATCTCACCTTCTACTCCCAAGTTTTAGCTTTTTCTACTGCAGTCTGAGTGAAATTTTGCATCCTAGCTCTTGGTTGATAGGTGTGCTAAAGGATAAGATTACAGATCTTTTGTCATGTCGTATACAGAGCAGTTCAGATTCCTGAGGACACTACTGAAGCTCAAAACAAGGCCTTAGCTCCATCCTTCTTTCTTTTTTTTCTTTTTTTTTTTTTTTTTTTTGAACATGATGCTTACTATGAGTCTCTTAATGGGTCTTCCTTTGAGCCCCATCAAGGCATGTTCAGGAGATTCCTCATACTCAGGAGTCTACTACCATTTGTTTCAGCACAGTGGAGAAACTTAATGCATTCTTTCATGGTCTTCAACTTTCAACATGGAAACAAAAAGCAGATTTGATCCTTCATCACTCCTTTGTGGTCCCTTCGCCTGTTTTCTGGCTCAAAAGGTTGTGCTTCCTTCTCTCTGCCAGTTTCCTGGGATCAAGGAAGAGATGATACATGAGGAGGGCATTCAGACTTGAATCAAATATTACCTCAAGACCAGAAGAATGACTATCTTTGCATCCGGTATGTGGACTTCAAGGAGGTTACATCTTCTATGAGCAGATGAGTATAATGTGCTCTTTTTCATTGAAGCAACATCAACTTTGGCTTTCATCATAACAGTGTCTCCAGATTCTTTGAAGAGACACTTAACCATTAGGGAAGGATGTCTTCTTTTTTTATTTTTTTTTTTTTCACCCCCCCCAACCTTAACTAGTTATCAAGATCTCCTCCACTTTCAATGAAGAATTAGATTGATCCATTTGTCGGATGTTTGTAGGACTGAGTGGATGGAAGAAGTTTAGGGAGTTTAATAAATAAATTTCATGTTTACTTTGGGAGAGGTCTGTGAATGCTGTATTTTAGGTGTTTCAATGGCCTTGGTCTGTGCATATGGTCCTTGCTTTATTTTTGTTCACATTTTTCTTTCTGAAAATGCCATCAATTTAAGAGAAGGTTAAATCTGAACTTAACTTAGAATGGGATCTGATCAAAGAAAGTAGCAATAGTAGCAGCAAAGGTGTGGTATAGCTGCCAGCTCTAGTAATGCCTCATTGATTCTGTTACTCGTGTTTGGCTCTTATTTGGGTAATATATATATAAAGTCATATTTTGTCGTGTATCTGAGACTTAGAGACAGAAGGATTTTGAAACTGGCTACAATCAGGTTCATTAGGCTGCACTCAAATTGACTCGAACATCATCTTCTAAGCCTAGCTCATGTTCAGAAGCAGCTTATCTGCTTTTGTGCAGTTGATACACAAGATAATAAATGTGAAGGGTTCTGAGTGGGATCCACCTGCTTCAGCGTGGCAGAGGCTGAGACAGAGGTGTAATAAGCACAGTCAGACCCTGCCCAGTTCCTGCAGAGCTCTTCTGAAATCCACCTGCTGTCCTTCACCCCTCTTCCCTCTCCACCCCAGGGGCTTCATTCTGACACTCTGCGTTGTACATCCCCTGATGGAGAGCTCTGGGAAGCTCTTTGCTTACGGCTTTGCAGGGGTGAAGGGATCCAACTCAACTGGATCCTGAGTGTAGCCACTTCCAGTATTTGTACCATACCCTTTATCTGTTTTCCCCCTTCTCTCTTCTTTCTCTGGGGGGGAGCTCCTAATTGCAGATAAGGGCTATTTTTGCTCTAAACTTTTGGCAATTTGGTGAAGGGTTTTTAGGTTGAATCCTGATGATATTTTCTTGGTATTTTGCTTTGTGGGGTTTGTTTGTAGAAGAAGAAAACATTCTGATTTGGAAAGAAGCTAATTCTCGTGTCCATGTTCTTAGTAATTCGGTGGCCAAAGACGACTTAAAATCGCTCAGAGAGGAGGAAACAAGCAATCAAGTAACTCACTGAATCTTGCAAGTATTCATTTGATGTTTGTTGGTCAGGGAGCGTGATAGTCCAATTGGTGAGATAGTGGAAACTGGTGTATATCTGTGTATATCTGTTATCTGCACCAGTTTCGGCGTGGTGTCCAGGAATTTTATTTAAACAAAATAATTTTGTGCTATGTAGTTTTTGTATTAGCTTTACAAAAGTATAATATTTGCCTATGATCACAGTGAGAAAACAAGAGGAAAGAGATCAAAGAATATCAACCAACTTTAGGGCAAATTATGCAACTATAAAGAAAGCATCTGAAGTTCAGCCTCTTACAGAGGCTAAATATATTTTTACAAGGCGATCGAGTGCTAAAATAGATTTCTGTGTCTTGCACCTGTCCAGATTAATTTTTTATGCAGTGTTGGGAACAGGAGAGTTTGTTGGCTACTCTTTTGTTTTCAAAGCTGTAGAGTAAGTTTTAGTTAAAGCACTGGGGAGAGAAAGCCTCAAACAAATGGACGCTTGGCTCTGAAATTTTAATTTCCGAAACTTTTCTTTTCATCCTTATTAACTGGTCTAATAAAAGTGACTTTTTCCTCCTGCATGCTTGGGTACATTCTTTACTAATTTGCTGGTTTGTGTCTGTAGATGGACTGGGTAAGGCTGATGCTTCCTGTTACTTTGAAAAAAGTGAAAGTAAAAAAAATGCTTCCCATGTAGTTTGAGAGAGTACTCTTTGATTAAAACTCATTGGTGAGCACTGATGCCCAATTGATAAGAAGATTAAACATCAATAAATTAAAAAAAAGGCAATATTAGGACAATGAGTTAATCTCAAAAAATGAAATTAACATAAATTATCAATTTCCATGCTCTAAAACATGACAGACCCTGCCATCATAATGTACAGAACGTAGTTAATATGCTAACTAGAACTTACGAGAGCAACAGTGGTTAATATTAAAGAATTCTTATAAATAAAGATTTTTAAATGCCATTAGGAGGTCAGTGTAATGCCTTTAGCCTTTTTTTTTTCTTTTAAGTTTTATATTAGTAATTTAGGTGAATTAGTTTCAATATTCTGACAGCTTCAAACCTGACTGCGTGAACAGCTCAGTTGTTAGGGCAGCCTGAGAGATGGAAAGCTCTTATTTGGCAGAGGATGACAAGCAAGTGCTGCAGTCCCAGAGTGCTGTTTTGGCACAGCAGGCCTAAATGAACTTCATTTCATGTTCCTCATCAGTCCTGCTCTTCAGCCCATTCCTTACTATCTGTTGATTTATCTCCCTGTTTTCTCACTTCCTTGATTACTTGTGTGCAATGACTTCATTGCCCTTGTCCAAAAGCATAGCAAAGGGATGAGGAACTTGATTTATGGGGGTTTCTTTTATTCATACAAGAATCTAGTAATGATTTTTTTTTTTTTTCGGGTTAACAAGATAAGCATTTGATCAAATCTTGAAAGCAGACACAGGCTGTCTAGCTGATAATGTATTTCTGCTGCATTAATTGTGCTAATTTCTTATCACTTCAAGCTTTCTGTTCAATCAGGGTAGAAGAGGGTTTTTAAAAACAATTTTAGAATGAGGCTTTAATGTTTGGAATAGATCATACTGCATGCAAAGTGCTTTACTTCTGAGTCTGAAAAGCTGAATATTTAAATAATTTGAAAGTGTAAAGAACTTTTAAAACATACAGAACGTGTTTACTATAATGTTATTTAGCAAAATAATGTTTAAAGTAATTAAAACATTAGTTTATTAACCTTTTTGAACTATTTTTTCTTAGATATTGTATATATTTTTAAAAATTTTTAGTAATTTTAGCTTTACAATTTTTGTAATGGTAATTGGTATCCCTTTTGGGTGACTCAGTTTTTAGAGTTTTACTACAGAAAGCTTTATAGATGCTGTACATAGCCACAGCACAACTAGACTAGATATCCAAAAAGCTGAATATCTAGATAAAGAAGCTTTGTTTCAGTGTGTGCAAAATGTTTGAACTACAAAGGCATTATACTGAAGACGGACTGTGTGGTATACAACACTCGCTAGATACTGGCACTGAAAATATTTTGGGGTGAAGGGAAAGCTCAAACCATTGTATAATGTATGGTATATTATGTGTTATCTTTACGATGGTCTTTAATAATTAACAGTTTAGCCATTTTATGGTTTGGATATGAACACAGATGTTAGCAATGAAGTCTCTTCTAAACTGTTCCTTGCTCAGGCATGAGTTTGATGAGTTGATTTTCAGAGATTGATGCCTCTGTCTTTTACTTTCCATTTATAAGACTTGAATCATTAGTCTATAATGTGGAAAGCATATTTTTTGGTACAAAGCCAGCATATTTTTATGATTGTGTTTTGATTTCATTTTATTTGTAATGATGCCTTCATATTTATGCCACATTGAAATAGATATTCCTAAGACCGCCTTAGAAATCCGTGCCTTGCAAAACATCTTCCTGTGGGGATGCAGAACCCCAATGGCATAAAGCCTTTTAGTGCTGCACTAATTGTAGCAGGTAGACAAACTCCACAGCATTACTGTTTATTGATACTACTGTCGTCATCCTAATGTAGAACAGGAACTCTGTGTGAATAGATCTTCCCTTTGAAGCAGAAAAAAACTTTATTCTTCTGTCCTCCAGCGCAAAGTTTTTCAACCTAGGTAGGGAATTGTCTTCAAACAGAAGTGTAGCCGTATCCCCTGAGGGTGTAACACACCTGAAGGCCTAGTTTTCTCAAGTACTTTAAGATTGCATAAACTGGCACCACTACCAAAAGGAGTAGTCCCATCTAGTCCTTTTCTTTAAATACCTCTTTGTTTCAGTTCATGGGTTTGTGTGATTGCAGTGAACCAGATGACGAAGATCTACTTTTTTTTGTTTTCTCTTGAGCTAGTTTTAACCAAGATCATACCACTACCAAAAGTAGTAGTCCCATCTAGTCCTTTTCTATAAATACCTCTTTGTGTTAGTTCACGGGTTTGTGTGATTGCAGTGAACCAGCTGAGGAAGATCTACTTTTTTTTGTTTTTCTCTTGAGCTAGTTTTAACCAAGATCAGGACTTTCCCCCATGTGCTTAATGGGGAGAGCAGCTCCAGGGTGGACTGGTTTCAGCCACTCCAGAGCAGCATCCTCAGCAGGATATGCTGTTGTTCTACATCATAGCAAATAATTCCTGTATCTTTGTGGGAGAGAATCCATTTACACACACATGTAATGTATCCCTCAAGTATCAACTTAATTAAGATGGTATTTCACATTTCACATGTGTTCTGTTAAATACGATTTTGCAATAATCAAGTTCACCTTAATATAATACTAACTTTGACACATACCCAAATAAACCAAGGAAGTGTGGCCTCTTCTTTCCCTTTTAACTTTTTTTGGTGGCTCCTTCAATGATCTTTGTTTCCTTGTCTGTACCTTTTTTCCTTTTTCCAGGGAATATTTCATCAGAAGTATAAAAACTCGTTCTGTTATTAAAGTGTTTTTTCTTCAAAGTGCATTTTGCTTAATGTTGTCACATGATAGGTTTGCGAGGTTGGCTTGAAGTCTTCATACTGAAGCCTGAGTGAATGGGATCAAAGCTGTGAAGTTCACCATGAAGTTTAGAAACCTTTAAGATTATTCAAGTTTCTCCCTTTCCATTTCTTTTGCTTTTCATTTGGGATAGCAGATATGAATAATTAATCTGCATATCTAAACAGCAAGTAAATGCTATCACTATTCTTTTCTACTTGCTTTCTGTGAAAAGCGAGCATGGTGGCAAAGATAGGAAGGACTGAAAGAAGTTTAATAGGACATAAAGCAAGTTCTGTACTGGCAAGCACTCTGATGAGAATAGAACAACACTGGCAGCCCTGTCTCTATGTGTCTAGGTACATGCATGCTCCATTCCTCTACATCTTAACTAGCCCCAGCCCTCTGGGATACAGACTCTAGGGAACTGGCTGTGATAAAATCTGGAACCATCTCTTTCAGACTTGAAACTTGATTTCAGGTGACAGAGTGTCATTTGGTCTGTAACATGATATGAACAATTTCAAATACCCCGCTCCTTTCTTGTAGGTCAAGCTTCCATCTTTTCTGCTGTGATAATACTTTCTATTGAGTTTCATGGGGTTTTTTTTATACTAACTTTACGCTGAAAGCGCAAACTGAAATATTTTTGTGGTTGAAGAAAGGCTGTGATTTATTTTGTGGTTGCATCAGTGTGCATACATTCAGTGACCTGTGGGACCAAGCCGAGGAGCCATTAGGTATTGTGAGTTGCTGAGAATGAAAACAGGCCTTCAAGAAAACATCCTTTCTACCTTTATGCTGCATCTAATATTGCTCCTACTTTTCTGCTGGAATGTGTGGCAGCGCTACATCTTCCTGTTGGCGTACATGAGCTGAGCTCTGCTCTCAGATCAAGGGTCATGGTACAGAATAAGGGCTGCTTTCCTGGACTTCTGTTTTCAATATGGGGTGTAGGTGTTTGTCTGTTAAATGATTCCTGAAGAAGAGAATTATTGCTGTAGGGGGTGCTGTAGAATTGTGATGCCTCAGATAAATCTGTTTGGGTTTTTTTGTCCCCTTATGTCCTTCAATACCCTTTAAAGCTGAGTATGTCTAAAATACGATACACTACCAGGAATTGGCACCTGCAAACTTAAATGTTTGGGTTTCTATTAATATTGGTTGTATTTGTGCTTTTTTTTTTTTTTGGTTGGGTTTGGTTTTTTTTTTTTAATTTGTAGACAGAACTATTCATGACTATTTTGTTCTGTTTCTGTAGATTAAAAGTAGCTTTAATCCAGCACTGCTGGATGGTGACAAAAATATTTTCGTCTTTATGAATGTGAAGTTCAATATGCAATTTGTGCTGCTTGTCTGCTGCCTTTTGGGTTCAATGAGAGTAGAAAAAAAACCAGTTCCTTATAATTTTTGTAGTGATTTTAAAAGAATGTTATTCATTTGTATCATAATATACTGGATGTAGCATTAATTGTTTAAACATAATGTGCTGTAATATTGACATGTTGCTTTGTCTCTTGCAGATCTAGAAATGGCAATTGCATATTGGAATTTAGTCTTGTCAGGAAGGTTTAAATTTCTAGATCTTTGGAATAAATTTTTGTTGGTAAGTACTTAGTGTATTCCTGACTATTTTGGTTCACAGCAGTCTGGCTTGTGGGCTGTGTGCTTACAATAAGGAATAAGACAAGATGTCTGAATACTTCCTTTGAACTTTTTCCTTTTTGAAAACTAACATAAAATAGTCTTATGGCAAGCCAAATTAAATCTTCTCTATATAATTTTCTAATTTAGAAGAATGCAAAAAGATGTAGCAAAGCAGTAGAGCATTCTGCTTGCTTCATCCTGTATCCTCCTACTTAGGAAAGCTTCTGTGTGAAATGAAGCCATGATTGTAGATTGAATCTCTGTTGTCTTTATTCTCAAGACAGCTGTGATTAGTCAACCATGTATTTTACCATGCTCTGCCTTTTGTGGTATTAATGCATAAACTCAGTCTTCTCAAAATGTCAATTCTGTTATGACTGACTTAACCTGAGAGACTTTTCTTTTTAAGTGAAAGTTCTTATCTGAGTAATTATTTTGACTCATTTTTTTAGATAATAGTTGTGAACTGATCTTGACAGCTTTCTTTGCCAGTGCAATTCTGTGGGCAGTGGAATAGAGGCATAAATTAAACTTTAGAAATTGCAAAATATTCTTATTAAAGGCCTGATTCATTCATCCATGTTTCTACATTTACATTTCTATGTACTTGCAAAAAAAAAAAAACAATTACCTTGTATAACGTTACATAATGTATAATTTATCTTGATTTTTTTTTTTATTTCTCTTTTTATCTGTAGTTTAGGAGAATTAAAAAATCTTTCTGTGCTTTGTCCCATAATCACCAATGCTTAATAGGGAAAGTGTATACTTTTGGCAGTATTTTCTGAAGTTTTTTCTAGATTTTTGGACAGTATATTTATTTTCTTCACTGAATAATGTACCAGTTTCATCAAGAGAACTTGTGAAAACGTTTCACATTTCAACTGCCATAATACACTTAACACATCCAAATTCAGATCTATAGATGGAACTGCGGAAAAGTCCTAATGTTTTTTTTCCACTTGGCTATGTGATCAAGTTGGTTATAACAGATATTTCTGCAAATCTCCAAGCAATAATCTATATGATGTGGTGTAAAGTGTCTTATTTTGCTACAAATATTTAACATGAATGTTTACTTTAGAAGAAATGTTTAGATTAAAAAAAAAATCAACCTGAGAAAGAAGCAAATTAGGACTTTCTAGGATGGAGGGTGTGTGTTTGTGTATTGTTTGTTTTAAGGAACTTTTTCCAGAAGGTATGTTTGCTTGTCATATTTCTTGCAGTCAAGATACAATGTTTGGCTTGAGTGAGAGGACATGTTTGCTGTTGTGTTGGACATCCACCTCGTTAGATTTCTGAAATGGAGTTTGTTCTTCTCAATGCTTTAGAGTATTGCTGCCAACCAAATAAAAAACCCCACTCTGCAACACCAAACCAAAAAATACAAACACAAAAAAAATCCCAACCCATCACCGAGCAAGTTTTTTCATGTGCCTGCACCTTTTTGCTGGAAACCAGAACTAGGTGTTGAAATTTAAATCCCTATTAATCACCCCTGCTATCATCAGGTAATACAGCAGTATCAACCCATGAAGGGAGATGTGAACGGTCTGACTTGACCCTACAGGTCACAACTGCTTAGTCCTTGTGTTTCCCACACTCTCTCTTCTTGGAAGTGCTGACTTTAAAAGCTGAGAGAACATTTGACTGGGACTGAAGTTTTTTGGAGGGCTGCTCAAACCGGCCGAGGTGACCACTAAGTATTTGTGAATGAGGTGGTGCAGGAAGAGTATGCTTAAAATCAGGCAAGAAGATGGTAGTGGAGAATAGGACAGACTTGGGGGGAAAAAGGAGGCTGAGCAGAAGTGGAGGAAATGCAGGTAGTGCCTTATGATGAAGGAGAGGACAGCTGAAGAGAGGCTGAGACGATGGGTCTGGAAGGCAGTCGTGGACTAAGGAGAGTGTAGGTGTAATAACTGTAATCAACGAGTTAAAAGAGATAAACTAGGTAAGTGTAAGTAAAAAGGAGGTGGGGGGAAGGGCTCAAATTGAAATGGCAGAATGCTAACCCATGGCTGCACAGTTTCAGAACCTGGAATGGATGCCATTAAGGAGAAATATGAAGTGCATGTGGTTTATTCTTTTCCATAACGAGATAGGAACACATATCCTGAAAGCAGAATGGAAGACATAAAACAGCTATTAAAGACTTCGTACACTTTTTTTGCCTTCTTAAGTTGCAATTTATTTTGTAGCTTCCTTTGGAAACTCTTGAGTTTTATTTATAAAAAAAGAGAGAGAAGAAGAAATACTTGCAAACATGTATTTCTGTATATATCATTATAAAATACTACTGTGGAATTTGAAAATAGCTTGGATTGAACAATGCCGTTTCTCCTCCGTTATAGGAACATCATAAAAGATCAATTCCAAAAGATACTTGGAATCTTTTGTTAGACTTTGGAAATATGATTGCAGATGATATGTCCAACTATGATGAAGAAGGTAAGCAGTACTTGAATGTATTCAAAAATTGGTACAGCAGAGTTAAAATATTGCTATAAACAAACAACAGAACATGCTGCTACTGTCTGTCTTAATTTGTTTACCTTTAGAGGTTTAGCTTCAAATATAGTGTCATACTTGTTGCTAGAACACTAATGATAAGGTTAACGAGTTTGCTGTAATATGTAAATAGAAGGAAAGATACTGTCACACTATGATATAGCACACACTATTTGAAACTCTTACAAGAGTCTCAGTGAAACTGTGTTTTTTGTGCAGAAGTACTGCTAGCTGCAAGGAAATACATCATTTTTCCACTTGCAAGAATGTCTACATGAGCATTTTTTTGGCTTACCAAGAAGCAATTTACACTCTGTTACTAATTCTGCAAATCCTGTTTTGGAATGACTGTACAGAAATTCTTCCTAAATGATGAACAACTCTAATAGGAATGCCATCGGTTTGCTATTAGCTAATGTTTATAAACTTTGTAGTGTGGATTGTGCTTTAAATTAATTTTCTTTTTCCTAAGAACTATTGCTGCAAGAAGACATTCAAATATTTAATTAATTAGGTGCTTTTTTTCAAGTGTTTATGGTTTCATGCATGTTAAAGCCAGACTAGGCCAGAAATGTCAAAGTGAGCTTCTGATCCTTTGTATTTAGAGACTACACGGATTTGTTGCTGATGATGACAGATTAATTTCTGAATTGCTTGACTTCTCTTCAGGAGCGTGGCCTGTCCTTATAGATGATTTTGTGGAATATGCACGACCAGTAGTCACAGGAGGAAAGCGTAAAACTTCCTAACCCCAGACTTGTCACTACGGACTAAACGTGCACTCTGAACTGCATTAGATAACGAAGATTTGTTGACTGATGACTGTGCACGTTGTTGCTGGTTTCAGTGGTCGTGATGACGTTCGTTCTACAGACAAAACTGAAATTCTTCCTTTCTGCCGAAAGAAAATGATGGCTGACACGCGGACACTTGAAGAACAAAACCCAGAAGATAGTCCAGGCTGTTTGTAGGCTATTGGCTTCAATTATTGTACTGGTTGTATCATATAGGATGTAGATTTTGCATGATTTTATACTTTGGAGAAGTTTAACTAGAGGCCATTTTATTACAGTTTTGACAGCACAGCATGCAATTCAGTTCATGATCCAAAGTGAACACCAGCAGTTACATAAATAAAACTGTATTATATTGTACTTATATTAAAAGCAGTATTTGTGGTATATAAATTAAATCCCTAAATAAAACTTATGCAGTATGTTGTATTTTTATAAAAGTTCCGTAGATCTGTCCTAATATAGAATTGTAACATAACTGAAAAAAACGCTTATGCTTTTTTTACTTGTTGCCAAAATTTTAAATTTATATTTTGAAGTCCTAGATGTATAGATTGATTACATCCAGCCTTTTGTTTTCTCCCATTGAGGTCAACTTCCTCATTATTCTTCTTCAAGTGCTTGGACATGTAACAAGTAGCATTGCTGAGGAAGGGCTGTTGCTCTATGCTGTGTTGCAACTCCAGCTTTTTTTATATTAACCATTTCAAAGTAGACATTAAACAACCAAAGATGCTTTTATAATTCATGTTTGATTATCATAATTCAGTTAGTCTTCAATTACAGCTCTTATTTACTTTATTTTAGATAGCAAACTGGTGGAATACAACTTTAATTTTCTTCATAGCCTGAAACATATCATAAATTCTAGTTAAATGCAAGATAGTTGCAAATGCAATTCCTGTCAGGTGTCACAGAAAATAAATATGAATAAGCCCAAAGACTTAACTAATTGGCTTCCACTTTGGAGAAATAGTTAGAGCTAAGGAGACTTTACATTCATGATGATAAGCATTCATGCCTCTGGATGTATTGTGTATTCAGTAATGTTTATTTAAGCGGGGGGAGGGGGGGGAAGAGTAAATTATTGCAATATAATTGATCTCAAGGCTAGTGGAATCGGCCCATGTTTCACCTAATGTGAATTTGTTCAGTCATTTGTTTCCCCCCTTCCACCAGCTATCGAATATAAAGCGTAGAGAGATCAGGCTCCTCTTTCTCAACAGTGTCTTCCAATGCCTGAGCACAACAAAATTTTACTAGAAACTGTTCACCATTTCTTCACACAGGGCTCTTTTAAATGCTACCTCATCAAAATGAGTTTGTCATAGCCACTGTACAAGCTTGTTGAAGAGTTGCTAGAGAATATGTACAGCTATGATCAATATATTTTTCTGTAATCAGAGCTGAATAGATGCAAGAATTTTGGAGAAAATAGTGCATTAAGCTATATAATTTATATTTCTTTGAATCACCTGAGATCATCTAAGTACTGCATGACAGCATACTATTTTATTTTGCAGTTGTGAAGGTATAAAAGCTTCCAATATTCTCTTAAACTCTAATATTTAGAGTTTCATCTAAGTGGTCAGCTTTCATTTATGTCAGTGCAGCCTACAAGAGCAAATGTATGTGCTGCCTTCAGAGAGGTGACCTTCGTTCTTCTGCTTGAGTGACTTTCAGTTGTGCATGATGTTTAAAAAAGCAGGATTAGGACAAATTTGAACAAATTAGCAAGTTTTCTGTGAAGAATATAGCAGGCAAGTTACAAATGCCCTATGGGTGCTTTATTAGCAGTATTTATAGCCTAAGCAATAATTGTCAATGTTAGATCTTGCATGGCAGCCACTAGATGTCAGTGGCTCAGCCCTCAGCTGCCTCTCTCCTCTGGGTAGGGTTAGGGAGTAATATTGAGCTGAATTATTACTTTCTATTTTGAAAGGCGTTTGTGTACATAAGTCCAGGTATTCTACAGAAGTCAACGGAGGTGACTACATCTATTTTGAAGGGCGTTTGTGTACATAGGTCCAGGTATTCTACAGAAGTCAACGGAGGTTTAAAGACAGTATTATGGTCTTTTTAGTGCTTTTGATCTGCCTACTCTTCCTTCCCGAATCGAGCCATTTCTGTATCTGTCCTGCAGGCTTTGGAGAATGTGTAACATCTCATAATATCAGTGTGTTTATCCAGCCAAAAGCGGTGGAATGCTTGTTAATTAACACAGTTGCCACTTAAAATATGTAGTTATAATACAACTGACCAGAAGCAGTTTAATCTATTGGTATGTAACATAACTGAATATTTTCATAGCGCTAGAGCTTGTGGCACATTTGCTCATGTTGAGACTTCCCTCAAATCAACCTGATGAACCTTTTACCTTTGAAAATAAATAGAGCATAAAAAATGCACGTGGGTTGAGGTTTGTAGCCTTGTTAATCTAAGGAAGAAGGAAGGTGCTTAGCATAGTATTCTGTTTCTGTATATATACACTTACTCTCTTAAGCCTCATTCCTGTGGGCATCCTTCATGGAAGACACCTTCTAACAGAGGAAGACTGAACAAAATATTCTCAAGATAGGAGTTACGCCTTCGCAGCCAGTTTCCTAGGTGTTAAGACACTTTTCCTCTCGTTCTTCCTGGTCTTCTGCCCATTTGAAGCAAGTATGCATTTTACATTCCCGTAAGCAATAGCATGAAGTTAGACCTTCACGCTTGAACAATCATTAAAATAAATGCAAATAAACTGCTTCCAAATGGTGCATTCCTTATGTATTTTGATAATTTGCTCAATGTTCTACTTTACAGGGCACTCTGACTTACTTTCTTAGGTAAACCAATACAGTGGTACCACCTGGGCTGATCCATTTATAATCATAAATGGTACACATGTCTTCAAGTTGTTCAGTGCATACAGTATTACTTCCTAGATAAGCTGTATGTATTTTTAAACTTGGTGCCAAGTTGTTTGGTTTTACATCCTGGAGTGTTTGAAACTGAGCCATAGGACTTGTACTTGCCAATTCTAAATTTAAATGTAACTTATCATGTATGTCATGCCAAGGAGAGCAAACCTGCAGGCATCTGCTCATTCAGTGCACCTGAGAGATTTGCTGCTGAGTAAGCTGTACGTGTGTAAATGGAAATTTTGTGGCAATGGAAAAAGGAATAAATGGACTGTCAACATAAAGGATTGAAGTCAGCCATGTGAGATGTCTGTATGGTTTCTGTCAGCTTTCTGTGTTGGAAGCCTTGCAAAGGCTGGTGGGTTGGTTTTTTTTCTGGTTAATTTGTTAAATTCTTGCATTATTATTCCATTGGTCAGAAGAGGGCAAGGATGTTGTCGTGAATTTTTAGCAGCTATAATAAATGTCTGGTTTGCTCATATGTGCCACCTTTGGGTTTTTTAGAAGCTGGCTGTATTTAACTGCAGTGCAGCATCCACTACATAGAACTGCTAGTGATCAAACTCAATTTGAGTCATTAGTTTGTACTGGCAACAAGAGGTGTAACAGCAAGGAAAGTCTTGCTCAGTCCTGGGCTCTGAACTCTGAGGGACAAGCAGCATCTTCAGAACTCTGCAAAGACCTTCAGAGGTATGTATTCAACTGAACTTAATTATTTTCTGAAAGTTTAAATCAAAATAGTTGTCCTGTATAGAATCATAGAATGGTTTGGGTTGGAAGTGACCTCAAAAGATCATCGAGTTCCAACCCCCCTGCCATCGGCAGGGACACCTCCCACTAGAGCAGGTTGCTCAAGGCCACGAGTATCCTCAGTGATAGAAGCAGCATCCTCAGAACTCTGTGCAAAGACCTTCAGAGGTATGTATTCAACTGAACTTAATTATTTTCTGAAAGTTTAAATCAAAATAGTTGTCCTGTATAGAATCATAGAATGGTTTGGGTTGGAAGGGACCTCAAAAGATCATCAAGTTCCAACCCCCCTGCCATGGGCAGGGACACCTCCCACTAGAGCAGGTTGCTCAAGGCCACGAGTATCCTCAGTGATACTACACTCAGCTGGACTGGTGGTTTAGGTGGTTCCCATCCTGAGTGAGCACAAGAGGACTTGAATATCCTGGTGGGTGAGCAGGCCCTGCAGAGGAACTACTTGTCCTTGTCCTGAAAGCAGGTTGTTTCACCAACCGCTGGCTGCTTTGGTGTCACACGAGTCTGCCTGCCTTCTCCTATAACAGCCAAACTGCTGATACCTGAACCCGCCGCAAGCTCTTTTCAAGTGTCATCACCAAGAGCTTCCCTCAGCTGATGCCAACCAGCACCTGGCACACCAAAAGGCACAGCCCTTCTGAAAGGGAAAAAGTGTAATGTTTTACAACTGTGAGAACTGGTTTTAAAAAAAAAATATTCAACAAAACATGTTTTCTGACCTTTGCGTTATATACAGTATGCTGGGTAGAATCAGGTGAAGATGACACACCTCTAAAGTGAGCTTTTTTTGTTATAAACTGTTAACAGAGGGGTCTGCAACTGCAGCTGCCTCTTCAATCACATGCAGAAAGTTCCATATTTCAGACAAGTGGGTACAATGTAGACCTCTTCGTGAGAAAAGCCTGGGGAAGCTTGAGAATGTTCAGATTTTGACTGGGTATAATTATTGGGATACTCTTGCTGGTGCTGGTATTTGACAAATTCCAATGTAGTTTTTCTTGTGCCTCCTTTACAAGCAGTGAAATATGCTATTTGTTGTCAGACAAACCCTATAGGCTTCATGTCGTGACACAGGCTTTCTGTCAACAGAGTAAAGAAGAAAGAATTCCATGCTGTGATGTTAAAGCAATATTTTTTCTTTAAGGCAGTGATGTAAAGTGGTACAAAAATTATTCATCCCTGCTATTAAAAAATTGAGAAAAAGCAGTCTGTTTTTTCCTGGATCTCAACTGAACGTTGTTCTGTAATTAGTATCATTGCTGAAGGAACGATCATGTTGCCAAAGGGAAACCCTTCACTTCAGTAGTTGCAAGGATGCAGCTCTGACAGAAGTTGGATACCCATCTGGTACCAACTCTACTTTTATAGGACAGAGCTCTGCACCCTTTGGATGGGTCAGTTTGCATCGCTCACTCCCAGGTGAAGTACTTGGGGTGTAGTCATCTTCTTTTAACTTAAACTGCTGACGGGCTTGTGTTGACAGAGCAGTCTCAGCCCACGCTACTTCCATCAGTTCATTTATTCATAAAAGACAGCAGTGCCTGTAGAGCCCAGGAGCCCTCTCATGGGCGGTGGAGATCATGGAGTCCCATCCCCTCAGGTGGAGGAGGCAGGTGGAGCCACATTTGCTGAAGGCATGCTCTCATGTTCTCATACAGGGTTTCAAATGCAATAGAGCTGAAACAGCAGTGTGCTGCCACCGACATGGAGAAGTCTTTTCTCTTTCCTGCCTTCCCATTCCTTGTTTCTGAATTCTTCCCATCTGAAACCAGTCATATGTACACTAATGAGAGGTCACCAAAGCTGCATTTTCATCTGATTTAACATTTACCAAACATTTTTTGCCAGGTCTACTTAGGTGTTTTTCCTTTTGTGAATATATATGATAAATGAATACTTACTCATCTTAACGCAGTTATTGTATTTTGGCCGTGTTGTAAAATGTCAGACTTGCATATCTTAAAAAATTGTCTCCTTTGGGGGAAGAAGGTGTGTCAGATATTGGGGTGCCTGACCTACCTCTGCCCAGAAAGCTCACAGTGGCTGAAAGTACTACATGAAAAAATCGTGTGCAATTAACAAATTAAATGAAAGTTAAGTTCTTTGTTGCGTATTCCATTTTGTAGAGTTGAAAAATAGAACTTCACTGAAATCTTCTCTGGGTTTTCAATATAGCCTTGTTTCTAAAGCCAAAGATTTTATTCCTAATTTGGGCTGTGTTACAAGCAGCCAAGTGTGCGTGCAACAGGGTGAAGTCCACGGGAGGCAAAAGGGCAGTGTAACTGCCAGCCACATGCAGAAGGAAGAGATAAATGGAAAACTAAGAATAGCTTTGCCCATTTTCAGGAAGGAACCTTCCATCTGATGAGGCCCTCACTAGCTCTCTGCTGTGCCTCAGCAGGTGATTTCTCCTGTCCTTGCTTGGCGAGTTCAACTTCTTATGTGCTTCCAAACCCTAATGCTCTGAGGGAATAGAGAAGAGGTGGGTGCCGCAGGAGGGTGCACGGGCCTGTGACGGAGACATCAACATCTGTGCTTCTGCCTGGTGTGGCTTTGGTAAACTGCCTTGGCCTTAGTTTTCCATTTCGAGTGTTCACTTCCCGGACGTGCAGAACCGGAGGTAACTCTGACAGTGCATGGGTGGCTCCAAGATTTTGCCCAGGGAAGTGGTTGAGGCACCATCCCTGGAGGTGTTCAAAAGATGGGTAGACATCGTCCTCAGGAATATGGTTTAGTAATTTTTATTTCCTGTTTCTTATTTATTTTTTTGTCAGAGTTAGGTTGATGGTTGGACTAGATGATCTTTAAGGTCCCTTCCAACCTAAACAATTCTATGATTCTAAGATGACCTCTACCTTGCTTAAATACCCCCGTCGTGGGAGGTGATGCCCGTTCCCACAGCCATGCAGGTCAGAGGGGCTGGCATCCTCACTGCTCAGGGTGAGCTGTCTCTAGAGCAGGCTGGCCATGACCCCACTGTAGAACATTTGGCCTTGCATCACCCTTGGTCCCTACATAGTGACTCTGGTATCCTAAGCCATAATTGCCCCTTTTTTGTGCTTTTTTCAGTTCAGACTTGTTCCTTCGTAGCAATGAAGACACACTCTCAGTGTCCTCTTCTTAATACTCAGCACTTCTGTTTACCCCAGTCCTAATCTTTAAAACAAGAATGTACTAATAGAGGCCACTTTCACCACTTTGGCACCTTATTTCTTACAATGTAGAATAGGGATGGCGATGCTGGTCTGTGTTCTGAAGATGCATTAAGGCTTCTTGTGAAGTACTGTGATATTTTTACATATGTCAATAGCTCAGTCCATGATTAACTACTTATTGTTCTGGGTGATAGAAGGATGCATCCTTTACACTGCTTTTCCACCCAAATAGCAGTCAGTATTGCTTTCTGAAAAAGATAAAAGAGCAAAAATCTTTCCCTAGGCATCCTTTATCAAAATTACAGTCAAGCCAATCAAAGCTTTCTGGTTAGTAGCAATTTGTGAGTCTTTGGGACAGCATGGATGGTCGCTGGGAACCATGACCTGAATCAATCATCTCAGCAGGCCCCTTGAAGGAAGATGTTCAGCCTACACAGAGGTGTGTTTGTGGGTGAGACATGTTGAAAAGGCTGCCAGACCACAGAGCCCCTTCTTGCACTGCATGGCAGAAGCACAGAAAGCATCCTGTAGTAACAGAACGAAGCACGGAATTGCAAGGGTATCAAGTTTGAAAGGATGGTATTAATAAAGCTCGGTTCTTACCAGGTGGGATTTCTTCTTCCATGAACTTTCTTAGACTCACAGGATGCCATTTAAATACATCTTTCAAAATAGTTTCCTTCCAGTAGTCCAAATGTGGGCTGTGCCTGATCTTAGGAAAAAGTCACTCTTTGCCAGGGAGTAAGAGGCAGGGGATTGAAGCTGTTTTTTTGCTCAGTGTTTATCCAGGGGGGCGGTGAATTAGCAAAACATTCTTGTCGTAGATGGAACCCAGCAAGAAAGCCGTTAACAAAGTATCACCATCGAGCATAATTAGAAACGGGAGAAGCCGTCTGCATTGACCAGATCTCTTACTGTCTAAACCCTCATTTTAGGGCTTACAGAGTTTGGAAATTCCCTTTTTCACAGGCTTTCCTTCTGACTGCTCCCTGAAGGGGAGGCCAACTCCAGCGTATCAGAAAAAGGGCAGGAAAATATATTAATTTGCAAGTTATTAAATAAATAAACAGCCCAGGGGAGACAGCTGTTTTTCTGGGTGTAGAGTTACTTAGGCTGGGTAGGGCTCAGGATTTCCTGGCTTGCTTTACGCCGGGTTGCAGAAACGAGGCTTTTGCCCTTCCCTTTGCAGGTCCAGTCTTGAGGTTTCATTGACCAAAGCCACTGCAAAATCCTGGGGTTATGAAATATTTCCTCTCCGTCAGGTCCCGGACAAGAGATGGCATCTGCAGAGCCAGAAAAGGAAGTCCTTGCCTTATAGAGAGCGCCCTCGGTGTGACACAATGGCTGATATAAAGTGTCGGGGGAGCTGAGGCAAAGGCAAAGGAACAAAGGAAGATCGAGATTCGGTGGCTTCCTCGGACAAGAGGAAAGCGGGAAGCGTCTCGGGGATGGATAAATTCAAGGCTGCGCTGGTGCTGGCTGGGGTAGGGGATGCTCTCGGTTATCGCAACTTCTCCCGAGAAAACAATGCCTTAGGGGCGAAAATCCAGCAGGAGCTGAAGGAAATCGGAGGGCTGGAGAACCTGGTGCTCTCTCCCGACAAGTGGCCAGTAAGCGACAACACGCTCATGCACATGGCTACGGCGGAGGCCGTCATCACAGGTGGGTACGCCGGGACGAGCCAGCGCAGGCTGGAAAGGGACAAAACCACCGAGCTGCCACGCTTCTTAGAGTAAGCCTGAGTGCTGGGGATGTCATCAGAAAGTGTGTCAGAAATGCCTCTTACGTGACTGATAACGTGCGTTAGCCTGTCTCCTCCCTGAGCGTAATCTTGCACAAACTGGGGAGCTTTGATTTCTTGAACGCGGAGGAGCTCTCCCCAGGTTTTCCCTAGGTTTATGCAGTTGGTTAAAGCTTAAAGACTAAAACACCGCATGTCCAGCGTGACAAAAATAATTGCTAAGTAGACTACCTGCACACCTTAATACGTCAGGGAATAAGATAGCCACTAGAAATTCTTCTGTAAGCGATAAGAGCTCTTCTAAGTACATTTTTAAGATGTTTATGCTCAGAACTCCGGGCTGGAGTAGAGTCACCTTAATGTCTCTTTCAGGCTAAAATCTCAAGCATTGTCTCCTCCTTGCTGCCTCTCGGGCAAAGGGTTGCACCTGCAAGGCCAGAAAGGGAGCAATTTGTGTTCTAAGGAGACCTCTGTGTCTTTAGTCCAAAAACTATTCTAACATACTATGTTAGAATATCAGTCTATCAGTATTAATGGAAGTATTAATGAATGTCTTCTAAAATCACAATAGTTTGAGAGAGAACATTTGGGTTTTCTTAAGGTAGGAATAGTCTTCTGTAAGATGTGATGATATTTATATCGACACCCTACCCATTGGACTAGAGCTTTCTGAGACTGTCAAGATCATCGTCAGAAGTACGCCGGTAGACAGTGACCATTCAGCAATATTTTGATTCTTCAGAACAGATCAAAACTTTTAATCTTTATAAAAATATCCTTGATTTTTCTCAACACGTGTAACACTGGATAGCTAACAGTAGCAGAAGCTCACAATGGAGCTTCACGTCAATGAAATTTCCCTTGTGCTTCTGTTTCACCGTTTTATCTGCCTGCTTCCAATCTGCTCTAAATTTAGTACACAGAGATCAGTTGAAGAGTGTGCTGGACTCTTCATGCTTGGCTATTAGCTAACCAATGGTTTAAGGGGTAGCTAATACACTAAAGATAAGGGCAAGATGTCAGCCTATCAAGAAAAAAGATGACTAACATATTTCTGAATGTAGGCTATGATTAAATATGTATCGTATGTTTCTTGCTTATTGAACTCTCTAAAACCAAACCTTCTGGGTAATCAAGCCAGTTAGACTAACAGTAAAATAATAAATCTTATTTCTTAAATATAGCAGGAGCACTGTGGCTCTAAAGAAAAAAAGTCTCAGCTATAATTCCCATCAGCTGTGCCTATCCTGCACTTTCATTTCCTTGGCCTGATCAGACAAGCTTTTTAAAAAGGTGCTTTTATCGGCTGGTGAGAAAGCAACAAGCTGGTGTGGGGAATTTTAGTAAGAAATCTTCATTTTGTAGTAAGATGGTGGAAAGCAAGTCCTTCTCTCTGCTACCCACCAGGGAAATAGAACCACTCCAGCCCACAGCAGTGTCTCCTCCTGGCAAGGAGAACACCAAAAAGCCACTGGGCTTGGTCATGGCCCTGCCCGAGTACAAAATCACCCAAGTCAACAGGGTGAACATGGGTCTGTGAGGCTGAAGGCAGCTGCCACCAGTCCCAGGGACCTGCCATCCTCATGTGGCAGGGAGCTCTCGCTGCCAGTGTCTGAGACTTTAAAGAATATATAAAGACTCTTCTCAGTGGAGCCCAGAGGCAGGATGAGGGGCAATAGGCACAAGCTGGAACACGGGAAATTCCATCTCAACATGAGGAACAACTTCTTTACTTTGAGGGTGGCAGAGCACTGGAACAGGCTGCCCAGAGAGGTTGTAGAGTCTCCTTCTCTGGAGATATTCAAAACCTTCCTGGATGCGTTCCTGTCCAGCCTGCTTTAGGTGGACCTGCTTTGGCAGGGGAGGTTGGACTAGATGATCTCCAAAGGTCCCTTCCAACCCCTACCATTCTGTGGTTCTGTGACATTGGGTGCCTGAAACTTTACCAGCCCAAAAAAAAAAAAAAAAAAAAAAGGTGAGAATTAGCAATAAAAACATTCCTGTCTGTCACTGCCCTGCTCCCTGCATGTCCCGTTCCCCTGGCTGGCTGCCCGCTGGCCACGGGCAGCACCCCCTGGGTGCATACCTCAGGTACGTGCGGGATGCTTGCAGGCTGGGGTGGACATGCCCAGGGCTTGCCGTGAGGTCCCATCACTGGCGTGCTGTCCTCGGGGGGGGTCCCAGCCTGAGGCTGCAGCAGCAGCCAAGCATGAGGTGGAGGTTTGTGTTAAGGATGGAGGTGATTTTGGCCAGTGTTTTGCTGGCTGCAGAGAGGACATCCCAGGAGCACCGTGGCCAGAAGCAGCAGGGGCTGCTGGCACGGCTGCAGACTGAGCTGGCACACCCCAAATCCACCGTGTGCACAGTCTGAAAGTTTGATCCCACAATGAAGGACAAATGAGGCATCTACTTCCAGTAGGAATCTGTCCCATAAGGAAGGAACAAGACCAGCATCATCAAAAGCAGGGGAACTACCTCTCCTACAAGGAAAGACTTTTCCTCTCTGACATAAACACGGATTTTAAAAAAATAAGAGTTCATTTCTAAATAAAGAACAAGTCCTATTGACTTGGTGTCTGAGATGGCAGCCTGGTGGTGCTTGCAGGAGCCGTGGTGGGCTCAGGCAGCCCGGAGGTGCTGGACTGCAGGGGCTCTGGGGACAAGGCTTCTGCAGAAGCTGCTGGGCGGTAAATCCTGCTCCTGGCTCCCACCCAGATAAACTGACACCTGATTCCTAAATCTGGAAAGAGTCGGCAGCTTGAAAGTATCTTGTTCCTCTAGGATTGTACATGGGATGGCCAGCATAATGGACAGGGTAATTTTTTTATTAAGCAAAAGGAGGGGAATCTTGATTTTACACTGCAGCTTTTTATTCCCCTGTCTGCATAATGGATACTTTCAAGTGGCTCTGGTTTGTGGGGCTCCAAACTTTCTCTTAAGTTAAACTTCTTGCGTGGATGTCAAGATATCACCATCTGTGACAAAATAAGGATATTTTTAGAAGAACTTCCCCTCCTGTGCCATTCAATCTGCGTCAAACCAAGTATTAAATGGGGTTTCTCTAAGTACGTAGAAAAGATATAAATACATATAAAAAACAAAACTTGACAGTCTCCTCAGTTCCCACTGATTACACAGTTCTGACAGGTGCCAGTGGGAGCTTCTCCTCAGCAAGAGCTGAGGGCTCCCTCAAGACCAGCAACACACAACAGCAGCCGAGAGATGCAGCTATACCAAAGAAACAGTATATATTTAACAGGTGGAAGCTTCCTCCAAAGGCAGGACTATAGGCCTTGGTAAAAATAATCTATATGCAGATATTGTTAGTGAGCTTATTCCAGAAATAAATTTATCCGCTGGAAATACTATAGACTGTAGGGATTTACTACTCTAACTCATCTTTATAATCATTTTTATAAAAGCTCGCTCTTCTGGTTACTGTACCAACATAAGATACAGGGATGCCTGCATGAAAGATTTACAAATTTCAGACAAAATAAATACAAAATACGGAATAAAAAATAATGTCACTAATTTGCATTTTTTTTGTTTAATCATACATACATCTTTAAAATAATTCAGTGGTAATTTAAAAAAAAATTTTAAAAGAAGGCTTTTACTTTTAAATTGGATTGGTGTGTGCAGATGATGGCAAAGGCACGGGCTGAGCCAGGCACAGCTGGCTCCACGCGCGCTCCCAGTCCCCACAATGGCAACACACTCACCTTACAGTTAGACACCTCCGTAAATACCTCCCACCACGGAGCCTAAATAAAGCCCCTGAGCAGCTACTGTTGATGAACAGAATGCGTCACCTTTCCAATTAAAGGAATTAAGAGTGGAAAGGAAAGCAGGAAAAGATGATAAGGGGGAGAGGAGGCTGTTCTCCCTCCAGCCCTCCCTCGTGGTGTGTAAAGACGTGTTGACAGTGGCACCAGAAACACGAGCTGGTGTATTGGAAGTGGAAACAGGAACGTTTCTTAAACGCATAGTGAGCTTGCTTGTTTGTTTTCAGCACTCTCTTGCTCTTTTGGCTTCACGTGGCAACCTTCCTTTCCCTCCTCCGAGCAGATTACTGGTGTTTGGAAGACCTGTACCGGGAGCTGGTAAAACGCTACGTGGATGCTATCGACAAGCTCTCGGGGAGGCGGCCAGACCCCGCCACCATTGAAGGCTGCAGGGAATTAAAACCAGACAACTACCTCCTCGCTTGGCACACACCCTTCAACGAAAAGGGTACGGTACCGCTTCCCGTTTATAGACCCTGGCGTAAATAATGCATGCTTTCGGTGTTTGTGGCTGTATGGAGACTGTTTCCTTTTCCCCCCCTGACATCAAAGGCCACTAACCCTGAAACGTTTCCATGTTTCCCTGAGGATGGCAAGAGATCTGCCAGGAATTCCTTCTGTAGGGCACTATGTCCTCTCGTAAATGAACCCTTCCCTCTTTAACATCTATTTAAAGAGACTTTGTTCTTGGCTTTGTGCCTCTGGGTGCGGATCTTTGTCCTTGAGTTTAATGGTTATTTTAAGAAATATTTTCTGCTGTTTTCCGTTTAAATGTTTGTAGCCTTGGATCTTCTCAGTGATGGCAGATGTGAAACAAAAAGCTGAGCCTGTGAAATGCTCTGTGCACCAACGTGTTCACTGGAGGGGAAGCAGAGAGTTGCCTCCAGGTGGAAGCCCTGCTAACAACTATGACTGGTTTTGCTTATAATCCCCAATATTCTTAGCCCTGTTTCTCTGCCCATGACCCTCTCTTTCTTTCTTTTTATGATAATTCCGTTTTATGATGAATTGAATTTCTGCTTCAAGTTAAGTAGAATCATAGTATCATAGAATCATAGAATGGTTTGGGTTGGAAGGGACCTCAAGGATCATCTAGTTCCAACCCCCCTGCCATGGGCAGGGATACCTCCCACTAGACCAGGTTGCTCAAAGCCCCATCCAGCCTGGCCTTGAACACTTCCAGGGATGGGGCATCCACAGCTTCCCTGGGCAACACACATACAGCTGTGTGCACACACACAATCTTGAAAGACTGTACATACAGATGTGTGCACACACACAATCTTGAAAGACTGTAGAGACACCACACCATCAGAGGAGGAGGAGGAGGTAGACCTGAGCAGCCACAAGAGGATGGCAGCTCACACGGACGTTGTGCTGTGCCGGTGTGTGATGCTCTTCCATGGCAGAACGTATTGGCACCGCTCAACAGCATTGCATATTGATCCAACATCGTGGCAAAGACGCGGTGGCACAATGCCATGGCTATTTCTGGGTCTCTGCAGCCAGTTTTCTCTGACACAAAAAGCATCCCTCACTCAGCCCCCGCTTCTCTCAACAGCTGCTGGGAGGGAAAAGGATCCCCTCCCCATTTATCCAGCACTATTAGCCAGGAAGATCTGAGAGTGACCCCTTGGCAGTTGTCATGTGTTTTCTGATTGACAGTGAGTAAAATTTGGTTAAAATGATTATGGGAGCTGGTGGTGGCCCTGAGCAGCTCTCACCACCTCCAGCAGTGGATCCCGGCTGTTCCCCAGTCCATTGCTGTGTTGGAGCCACATCTCTTCTTTTAGCCTTCCTCCTCCCCAGCTTTCCATGATGAACTTTCTTTGGAGATTTTCAAGAACCGCCTGGATGCAGTCCTGAGTGGCATGATCTGACATGCTCTGGATGGTCCTGCTTTAGCAGGGGAGTTGGACTAGATGATCTCTATGGTCCCTTCCAACTCTAAAAATTCAGTGAAATTCAGTGAAACTATTTGCTCTTAGGATAGTCTGAGCTAGAATGATCTAAAATTAATTCTTGCCTTGAGACCTGGCAGCTAAAACCTTCCTTCTCCATCTGATCTGACAAATATAATCCTGAACATCTCAAGAAGCCTTTTTTTTTCACCATGAGAGCAAAAGAACCAGTGACCTGAGGTGGAGATGTTCAGCCTACCATGGGACCTGACACTGCTATGGACATAATTAACTTTTTAATTGAATTTTCATTTCTTCTCAAGGCAAAAACATTCCAAGGGCATTGAATGCCTACAAGTCAGGTAATACCTTCGATGAGCTGGAACCAAAATGCTGGTTTCCTGTGGTCATTTTATCTTACCTCACTTCTAGCAAGAATTAATATGCTAGCCTTCATGGACCAGTGAAATCATAGCTTAGGTAATTTTCCATTGCTTATATGAAGCTTTTCTCTTAAATTCATGTGGGTATAGTCAGCACTCTGAGTTCTTAAGTCAAACTGCCCTGTGTGTTGTCTTTGCCACCTCATGCCATGCTCACTGCCACACGACTACAAAGAGGTACCCAAATTATGTTAAAGGCTGGTGAGATTCCTGTGACCAGCAGAAGACCTGTCCAAGGCTCTCTAGCATCTTCCACTTTAAGAACTTGTTTCCAATTTATGGAATTGATAAGCTCAAGGCTGAAATTTTCACTGTTGAGTGTTTGCTGCTGTTTGTCTGTCAGCATTTGTTTAAATTTTTGATACAGATGAGTGCACTGTCTCTGGAACATGGTAAAAATGTTTTCCTCTGTTGCTAAAAGCTCAGACTGTTCAGAAGAGACATCTTGGACATAAGGTGGTACCCCCTGAGCTGGAGATGTACCTGTGGAGACATGCTGAAGGTCCAGCCAAATGGCAGCTTGGCTCTACCTGTATCATGTGCATTTCAGGCTGGGGCTCCAGCATCCAAACTGGTCTTTATTTGCAGCTACTGGTGCAGCTGTGGGGCTTCCTAGTAGCACTTGAAAGCAGTACCTTTTTGGTGGTGGCATGAAGAAAAAGTATAAGTTAAATGCAGAAAGCTGGAGAACAAAAATGAAGGCTAAGCCACAGAGGGACAGGAGACAAAGGGGCCAGGCTCTAAGTTCTCATGCAGGTCTGTAAGACACGTCCTCTTCAGGGCTTAGCAGCCATTAAGCTGATCTTTATTATTCTACAGATGTAGAGTGAAGAAAAGGACACTGAGGCATTACATACTAAAAGAGAACATCATGCATAAATGAAAATGACGTAATAAGAAAGTGTCAACACAGCTTTTGTGAAAAGAAGTCACACCTCAGAAATCTATTAGAAAGCTTGTGAAATAGCCAAGAAACAGGAGGAAAAAGGAGATGTGAAGGTGGTTTGTTAGGATTTCCAAAAGACATTCAACAAGGTCCCTTATCTAAGCAATGAGGCACTAAGTTGCCAAAGGGTGACAGAAAAGTTATCCTGAGGACAGACAACTGGTTAAAAAACAGTAAATAAAAAGCAGGAGATTGCAGTCTGTCTTCTCCATAGAGGAGGAGGTACTTGTGTCGGACCTCTGTTCTTCATCATGTCCACAAACTGGAAATGCAAATGCATAGTGGGTCAACAAAGCCAAAGTTGTGGAAGAGTTGTGGAAGAGTTGCTACTGTTGCACAGCAGCAGAACCAAACAATGCAGATAAATGAAAAGTCATATGCGGGGGAGCAGGGAGGATGGGATGGACAACACCACAGAGAACACTCACTGTCTCCTCCAGCACAGGAACCAGGGACTTCAAGTGAAAGTAGCAGGTCATGTGCTCAAAGCAACCAAAAGGAAGGGCTTCTTCACACAACGCCTAATGAAGCTGCACAACTATTTTCCAATGCCGATTTGCAGATGCTACAGTTCATGTGACTTCAAAAAAAAAAGGCTGGGCAAATTCACCAAAGGCAAATCCTTCAAGGGTTGGTAAGCAGAAAGGCGAATAACCAGTTGCCTCAGAGAGACAAATTGTCAGCAGTTTAATTAATATGAAGGGGTAGCATCATTGTACTTTTAATTTACTGTTTTTTGAGTATTCTCTCCTTTGGCCACTGCCAGACATCATAAGTTGGGTAGACCTTTGGTCTGATTGTGGAGGACAGTCTTTATGTTTTTACGTCTCACCCGTTACTTGGTCTATTCTTGCTGTCCCTTCATTGATTCACATGGTAGATACTGAGACATGGGAGGTAACAGCTGTTAATCACCTGAAGCCCAGTCTAGGCTTAGTGTTACTCCATGCAATGGCTTAATGCTACTCCATATGATGGATTTTTTCTTTTTTTGTTATGGAGTTTGCTTGTCTAATTCTGCAGCAGGTTTTAATATCACTTCCTAGACTGGAGGAACACAATGAAGTTGCAAAGTCAAGCTCCTTCAGACCAGCAGTCAAAATACTGTAGTCCATTCTCCACTTTGGAGACACTAAGAGATGTTACTCAGTTAGTAACGATGTGTAGCGCAACAGCCTTCCCTTTTGGATAACCAGCATGAATTGTGTCCTTTGGAGGAACCAGGATTGCATGATGGAGAAGACTCGTACCTGCTGCTCTATGGCAGCAGATGGTTTAATGTAGAGTTTGGTCTTGCAAGCAGAAGACATATTATCCCAGTTAAGCTGACTGGTGCTCTGAATTTCTTTCCTGACTTTTTCTTGTTGTTTCTATGTGATTTGAGGGAAAGGCAGACACTTTTATCTGCTCCTGGCTCCTAAATAACCAGGCACTACAGCTGCAGTATATGTGAGGTATGGGAGAAAACGCACCATTTGCAGAACAAGTATTCAGCTTTTTTGTGAGGAGCAGTGGCCAAAGGTGTTGTGGAGAGGGCCCCTTTCACTGCTATCAGAAAGGCTAGCAAGGGATGAGGAAGCAAGCTCTGAGCTTGCAGGGAATAAAATGGTATTTTGCAAAACCTTTCATGTCACATCTATCAAGTGTTTAGCTGTTTTTTGGAAGAGTTATTGCATGCAAAATTTACACATTAGACTTTGAGGGGGAAAGGAAGAAATGTCTTCAGCTAACCTAATTACATCATCTAACAAGAGTGCTCACTCAGGATAGCAGCTCTCTGGGGAGAAGAGCTCTCCTCTTGAAATTCAGATCCTAGTTGGTCTGTATTGCACCTGAACATGCCAATAGGTGGCTGATGTTAGTTTGGCTCAGGCTTCAGTTTGGCTTGAAGTAAATCTTCCTGCCGTCTCCTCTACCACTCTTTGATCACACTCATGATCTTAGGACACCCAAACTTGAGCTCCTTGGGAGCAGCAAGCGGTGCTCCAAGAGAGCCTCAGGTGCTCTGCACCCCCAGCGGGCACAGCCCAAGGGAACAACTGAAGGCTTTTCTCAAGATTGGTGTCTAAAAACCCTGACTCTTGCTCCTTGGCATTGGCTACTTCGATGAACTCTGGCCAATTAATTGCTCCTACTACACCATCATACTGGCTACCTCTACCTCTACCACTCTTTGATCACACTCATGATCTTAGGACACCCAAACTTGAGCTCCTTGGGAGCAGCAAGCGGTGCTCCAAGAGAGCCTCAGGTGCTCTGCACCCCCAGCGGGCACAGCCCAAGGGAACAACTGAAGGCTTTTCTCAAGATTGGTGTCTAAAAACCCTGACTCTTGCTCCTTGGCATTGGCTACTTCGATGAACTCTGGCCAATTAATTGCTCCTACTACACCATCATACTGGCTAATGGGCATACGGCCTTTTTCAGATGCTGCCCATCTGGGAAAGTCATGGAGAATATCCTCCTAATGCAGGTTCCACGGAGGCTAAAATTAGGTGGCATAAATATGCCTCTTATCTTCCAGAGACCATGTAGAGAAATGCTGATTGCTCTTAGCTATACCCAAGGTCACTGGGACGTGTGACTGAGCAAAGACAGTGCTGAAAAATGCCAAGTACTTTGAAAAATCGAACCCTATCCGTCTCAGGGTGGGTGCCTGTAATGAGCTAATGCTTTTTTGGGCACTGACTTACCAGCTGCAAAGAGGAGATAATCACCTCACTGGTGCCTTGTAAAGATAAGCTCATTAAAACTTCTGTGGGATCCTGATATTACTGTGATAAGTACTGCAGAGAAACTCATTAGTAAATTTAACTCCCCATTCATTGAAGTGTTTCAAAGTTGAACACTTGGGTTAGTGCACTCAGGGCTGAGGATTAAAAGAAATACTGAATTAGCTATTCAATGAATAAACTCTGTGCTGCACGAGGCAGATATACTCAAGACCACGCTCAGTAAGTGCAGGCTGTACCATCATGAGTGTGCACACACACACCAACTCCAGGTCGCACAGGAAACCTCCATTCTGACATTGCTTGACTTTGGAGGACTTGGCTCTGTAGCCTTTAGTTTCTTTTTGGACACGTTATTTTTGTATGTAGCAGAAATTATTTTGTGAACTACCTGTGGGGTTCTCTAGGACAAAACGTGCGTTAAAATTGTAAGATCAACTGTGGTACTCATATGAAGTGTTTTAATCATGTGCTTTCAGCATGAAGACGACTAAAATAAACGGGTAGTAAAAGTGCATCTGTTTCTCAAACTTCTGTTTCTAGTGCTGGCGTCTGGAGCAAGCAAAAGAGAGGTGTCAGCCAAGAATGAGTAAAGATGGCATGAAGAGTTTGAATCAAACAAGTGCTGTGAACAAGAGAGCATGCTGCTTTCTGAGCCTGCTATGCACTTCGTAGTACTTGAGAATATTGGGATATACCTGTAAAACCAGAATGCAAGAAGCAAAACTCCACTCAAGAAACTTTCAAAACTTATAACTCGCTTTGTGTGCTAATTTCCCACTCCCTGAGGAATTCTCACACATAGGTTGAATTAATAAAATGTGCTTGTTTCACATTTTATCAACATATTTGGGTATCACTAGTCTCCTTTTAAATGCTTGCATTATCTTTTTACTTTAGGTTCTGGATTTGGAGCATCCACAAAAGCCATGTGTCTAGGGATGCGATACTGGAAGCCAGAAAGGCTGGAGTCACTTATTGAAGTGAGCATTGAGTGTGGACGAATGACTCACAACCATCCTACAGGTAATGTCTGCTGACATATTGGTGCACTGAGGTCCCTAATGATGCTTTGTGCTTCCATGGGAACTAACTCTGCTCCTGTGAATTCACCTGGTTAAATTGCTTCTGCTTTGCAGACTCCAAGGCCTTGGTTTGAATTTTGCTTGGGTAGTCTATACATGTATACATTACTTACATAATCTTACGTATTTGCTTGTATATTACACAAACAGCAGCCTCAGGAGTAGGAGTTTTCCCTCCTAGAATCCCAGTAATTAAACACAACCCATCTTGTCAAAAACATATTCATGTCACTTGCATAGATCATATTTTAGGATTTATGTACATTGAGATGACTCGCTGTTATCATGCAAGTTTATGGTTCAGGGGATAATATCATTTCTCTCTTGATAGGTTTTGTCATACCCAATCACTATAGGTAAAGGTAGAAAGCAAAAAAAATCTAGCTCTGCATATTTTAAGACACAATCTGAAACATTCTCTAAACAAAACATAAACAAGTAGATTTAATGTTTTGAATATTTGCATCTGTCATTCTGATATTCTATGCTATGTAAGCGTGAATTCATTCTGCCTGCTTTAAACAGGAATAAACAAAACCATAATGAACGGTGACATTCAACACGCTCAGTGCTTCGAAGCAGTCAGAAAAGCCATCAGGATGGCATAAAATTAGAGGAAAATAATTCAGAACAAAGCAGGAAGTCTCATTAAGCCAATATATAAAGTCCATGGCACATTAGCAGCAACAAGACTGCTTGCAAATCTGGGTCTTCCACCTCAGAAAGGACTTACTAGAGCCAGAAAATGGCAGCAAGGAGCATCCAGGTCATCAAATGCCTTCCTTACAAGGAGAAATTCCACCCAGAAGGAGCTTTCAGCTGGGAAAGGAGTGACACAGTGAGGAAGCGGGGAGGAGAGGGGTGGAAGTGCCACCACGGACCTCACTACCATCCTGAAAGGTGCCAGGGAAACGTCAGTTGTGATTCTCATAACTCAAAGACAGGGGAAACCCAATTGACATGTCAGTGAGGACTGAAACAAAGAGACAAAGGAAATGCTTCCCTGTGTCGTGCGTAGTCAAGTTGCAGAACTTGCTGCTACAGGCAGCTGCAAAGTCCACAGATACGCCTGGGTTCAAAAGGGATCAGGCAAGCGGACAAGAAGGGCTGTTGCTGTTAAAAGCAATCAAGCTGTGTAATTAAAATTGCCCTTAAGCTAGTCCAGAAGCTCTGGGGAGCAGAGCAGCCAAACCAATTAGGCTCACTCTGTACTGGCATTAATAGGCAGAGCCAGAAACCTCGGCTGGGGCTTGCTTTCTTCCCTGATGAGGGGCAGGGGCTATATGAGGGCTTCCAGGAGCAAGGGGAGGGGGTTACCTGGGGAGAGGGCAAGAAAAGACTGCCAGTCCCCCAAAAACCTTCTGGGCATGCCCCAGCCCCTATCACCCTCTTCACCACCCATTGCCCCCTGCTAGTCCTTTGCTTCATCCTCTAAACCCTCTGCTGCCATCCTCATGCTGAATGTGACACTCAAGGACCTTTATGGCAATTGGGTTAGATGCTGTCTATCTGAGTGAGACCCTTTGAACTGTCTCTACCTGCTTTTTTTATTCTTCCTGAAAACATCTATGACATCCTGGGTTAGACATGCCTTCGGCCTGACCTGGTATTGTAGGTCTTATGGCAGAGAGAATGAGTAATCCTTTCTTCTGGACTTGTAAACTCCTAAAATAATTTGGTTTTACCTTCAGCAAAACACATGAAGTTCATGCTTACCTCTACGCATGAGTGAACCTTTTGGACCCATGCACCAAGAGAAGCACATGCATCAATACTTTGCTCACCTGGGGCTTATTTAAATGACTGGGTTGTTTTCCTAACCTTCTTTTGCATGTTGCACTGGGTGGATTTTGTTGCCCTTGACAGATTGCCAAGATTGCCTTGACAGGCAAATATGAGAAATGATCTCCTCTGTTTCTGACGTCATGGAAGTGTTGAGCGTCTGTTAACAGAAAGTTCATCTTAATTATGTTCGTATCCAAAATGGAAGACCTAGCTAGGCAGGCAGATAGCATGTGCTACTTGGAAAATTGCTTCTTTCCTCTAAGGGGACATGGGCTTGTCCCCTTAAAGTGAGCCAGAAATAATGTTAGATCTGACAACCCCAGCACTTGAGCTGGATGACTCTGTCAGCAAGGTGATACAGCTTGGAATTGAACCACTTTCTGCAAGTCAGTTATTTCATGTGACTTCAATTAGAAGATTTTCAGTGTTACATTATTGGATGATGTTTATTTTTGACCCCTACCTCAATTTCTGTCATGTTACATCACTGAGAACAGAAGGTCCCTTCTATGTAAAATAAGTTGTAAACCAACGGGCCAAGAATCTCTACATGCCACGAGCCAGCCTGCAAACAGGCGGAGGTAGGTTATGTACATTCGTTAATCTGCCCAACAGCCATGAGGCATTCCACTAATGATTTTACAAAGGACACGGCAAGGATGGTAGGCGCACAGACCCCGAGTTGGTAATCTCTGCTGTCTATGAATTCCAGGCTTTCTAGGGTCCCTATGCACAGCTCTCTTTGTGGCCTACGCGATACAAGGGAAACCCCTGGTGCAGTGGGGAAGAGAGATGATGAAGGTTGTGCCGATGGCTGAAGAATACTGCAAGAAGACCATTCGCCACATGGCAGGTAATGTGTCTGAATCAAGAGTTGTTTTCTTAAACGTACGTTCAGTTAGAAAGACACTGAAGAAACACCACTGCCCAGTCTCTCAATTTTTGCTGCTTCTCTCCCCCCTCCCTCAAATCCACTGGCTGTCCTCCTGCTTTCTCTGCCCAGACTATAAGCTCTCTGTAGGTCGTTCCACCACCTTCTACCATCCATTAGGTGCCTGGCACATTGGTGGCAAAAATACAAAGAGGAATAGCAATGATAATGCCCTCCTGCAGTTTTATTTTTAGGAAGTCTTCAAAGATTGCTGGGCAGGGGGGAGGGAGGAAATGGTATTTAGCAGGTTATTAGGCAAAACAACTGCTGAGATATAAATTATTCAGCTCCTTTCCACCAATTAGCACAGTCCAACATTTTCCATAAGAAAACCCACTGATATTCCTCATTTTGCCAGGAAAAGTTCACCCGCAGATACCTCCTGACCAAGGCTTAGCTTTTGGCCACAAATTCAGATTCGACTTGTTGCTTTTCTGAACAAATACTTAGGACACAACCTGTTGTATCCTTGTTTTAAAACAATTGAGTGTAACACAACTATTGAACTTGATATTGCTACTTTACTAATGTATGTGATCTTCAGGGCAAAGGTATTTTAGTCTCCTCTTGCCAGGGAGCATTGCATTTGTAAGGGAGAGACCTGCCATGGACAGACGAGTATCGTTGCATTAAAATATGAAGGAAAGAGGTTTTTCTGTTGATCTCAAGGCACAGCTATTGAGATAGATGGGATTCAGTGGAAATCTTTACTCAGGAACACTCAGGAATGAAGATTTACCCGGGAAGGGAAGCCGACGCTGCTTTAAAATCCAAGAGGAGCCCCAGGGAGCCTTCCTGAAAGACCCCGCGTTTTCGTCTGCGCCTCATTGCGCACCAGGATTTTTTTAGCCAAGACCTATGAGGAGCAGGTGCAGGATTAGTGTGAGCGAGCTCCTCTCTGAGTGGCTTTGCAGCAGGTCCCTGTCACTCCACCCCAGCAGGACCCCTCGGCGTGGAGGTATGCGCGTCGGGCTCCTGGGGCACGCTCTCCGGCCAGTGCCCGTATTGTTGAGCTTCGTCCTAATTTGGTAGCGGGAAAAGTCTCCGGCATTAAAGTTAAGCTCCTTGGCCGGTGAGACGCACGGCAAAGAAGTCCTGCCAAACAGAGTCCTCCAGTTTTAGAAAACTCTTTTTTAGCTGCATTATCCCCCCTGGATAACAAACACAGCGTTCAGTCGCAGCGGGCTTGACTCAGCAGCCTTCCCTGATATTCAGTTGCAACTACTGGCCAGATAGTCCCAAGGATGGACCTCAGGCTGGGCTCAAGGGATGGGGCAGAGCCTCTCTGGGGGTTGGTGTGGGATTTCTGACCACACTGCAGGTCATCCACGCAACCAGAATCGCCTACAACTCCTTGATCCCTTTCCAAGCCTGCTGCTGGAATAATGACGCTTCCTTGCTTGTTGAGATGCTACATGTAAAACATTCATTTTTGAGGCATTCTTCAACATTACTTTTTGAGGCATTCTTGTTTTATAGTCATGGGTAAGTAGGAAAAAAAAAAACCAAACACAAAGAAAGAAGCCTGTCAGGTCACCTGCATTTTTAAAAGATGTCTTGGCACCAGCTGGTGTCAGTAGTTTACTTCAACCGACAACGTTGTGTGATTATTTTTTCTCAAGTTGCTCTTCTTGGCCTGACGGCTGTGAGTGCACTTCCACTCTGTTTTTCTAAACACCCCCTCTTTTTTTAGGGTTCTAATGAACGTCTTCCTTGTAATCAGGCAAAACTGGGGCATGGACTAAGGAAAAGGGCAGCTGGGCATTCCCAGGTGTATAGGGCCAAGTGGTTGAAGGGTCATCCCTTCAACCTGGGGCTGGGATAGGTTCATACCGTTCCCTGGGGCTGGGGAACCAGCAACCTTGTGAAAGTATCAGGTCCTACAAGGCAGCCTGGATTTTTTACCATGGAGTTGAACCGCTTTAAAAACCTTAATTGCCAAAGAGGATGATCTGTATGGCATTTTAGGCAAAGAAGCAAAATCAGATTACATCCTTCAGAGAAACAGTTTGCTTGTGTCCATGCTCCTCAGCCACTTGCAGAACACAGCTGAGCAATATCAAGCAGGGCAGAGACAGGGAAAAAGCAGCAATGCTTAAATTTATTTTAAACTGTACACCAATAGTCCTACACTGAATTCCTCATTCGCCTTGGCATACCTAGAGGTCTTTCCTGTCTCACTGATTTCTAATTCCTTGCCACATTGGCTTCCCAGGCAGAGTTTCCCTCAGGCCTCAGTTCTGCAGATGTGTGTGTATGTGTGTGCTTAACAAGTCAGGGTGACTTATGTGCCTTTTTAAGCCTTTAAAAAGAGCTTGAACCGGAGCACTGTCTTGAAAATATACTGAATTTAGTAAGATTATTCACACGTGCAAAGATAAACTTGATTGCAGTTGCTCTTCCTAAAGTGACAGAAAAAGGAGAAAGACCTGTGGTTCTCAAAAAAGGCCTATTTGTACGGACACAGATTGCAGGTGTGTGTGTTATTTATCCCTTTTATTACATTTAATATGTATTATAAGCAAATGGAGATCTTGGTCTTTCCTGTCTGCCTTTTCCTGCAAAAACACACAGAAATACTGTGAGAACAGAACACAAATACTGGAGAAATTATGTAAATATGAACTTGTAGCTAAGGTAGAAGGCAATTTGTATTTAGGACATGCAAGCACTTTTAGATATTCTTTAATCAGAGTGAAGGAATATAAAAATTGGCACAGAATTGATTTTTTCCCTTCTTTTTGTTGACTCTTATCTTTTTCTTGGAGTGTGCTTCAGTAAGTTCTCTGAAGATCTCATCTTGATGTATCTTAATGTAATTTTAATATACCATAAAAATAGCATAAGATTCTGAAAATACTGAATTCTTTCTTTCACATCTTGTGTTTCCAGTGGGATGTCCCACTTCATATTAAAATGCATACTTAGTACACATGCCTGTTTAATGTATGTTAGTGTAAAATACACAGTTTTTCAGATCTATCAATGTTGTAATTTTCTTTAAAATTTATTTAAGTAGAAGTGAAAATGTTGCCCAGATTAAATACTACATCATTAATTTCTTTTGCATTCAGAGTACCAGGAGCACTGGTTTTATTTCGAAGCCAAGTGGCAGTTTTATTTGGAGGAGAGAGAAATCAACGAGGAAAACCAGAATAAACCTGTCTTTCCAGACAACTATGACGCAGAGGAGAGAGAAAAGGTAACTGCAACTACAGAAAGCGCTCGGAAAGGCTCTGAACGGAGAGGTGTATTTTCAAAGAGACACACCAGTATTTTTCAACTGTTGCCATTGCCAGAGCAGTCAGGAAGTCTTTAGTCTTTTTCAAAAATTTTAAGAAAGAAAAAACAATTCACATCCTTGGCTCAGGTATATGTTAATGTAAAAAAGCAGTTGTCACCAGTCCTGGGGTTGCTGCAATGGGAGAAAACAGTGCAGAGAGGTGGACCTAATGCTCAGGGGTATTGAGGCCCAGAGCAGGTAGAGAACTTAAGCCATCGCTATTTGAGGGTTGGAAAAAGCAAACATCTCACCGGGGGGTCTCATTAGAGCCTAATGGAGCTGTGGCCCGAGTCCCACAGAAATCCTCCTGGGTACTAGGAGCTGGAGTTGGTTATAGTCCTTCAAAGAGAAGACAGCCATCCTAAGCAATATTCTGCCAACACAGGCTGTGTCCAGGCTCGTTTTAAATGTCTCAAGAGATGGTGTTTCACCACGTCCCACGGGATACTATTTTATAGCATACATGATCTTTCCTTTGCCTCATGACTTCTGGTTATATCTTATTAACTCAAGAGAAATAACGTGTCTCTTCTTCCCTGGTGTTTACAGCTTTCTGTTACGTGCTGGCACCTCTCAAAGCTCTCCACTTAGCAGCCAAGCAATAAGTATGTGGTTCTTGTCACCTTTTCCCATAAATCAGTCCTTTTTTCCAGACTATTAAAGCACAGTTCTATTCTGAGAAGTCACTTTGTATATTTTAGGTGCTCATTTATGCAGTGAAACGTGCCAATGGAAGATAGATTGACTGTGGATAATAAGAAATTGCTCACTCTGAAGATAAAGCATAGATCTCCTTCCAGTTTTATTAGTAACTTGTGGTTTATATAGTAACTTGTTACTAGTTCTTTGTTCCTTCCAGTTATATGGGAATCTCAGCAGAGCTTTAAGAGATCAAACTCAACAGCATTTCCCCATGATTATTTAAAGAGAAAATTGCATGAATTCCTACTGCATAAACAAAATTGATGTTTGTTGCCCAAGACCACCCAGTTTGGCCTATTGAGCTATTTATTTTGATGCATAAGAAAATAAATTGTTTCTTCACCCTCAAACTCCACCAGCAGCCAGAAACCACAGCCTGACAGAAATTGAGAGACTTAATTTGCTTATAAGCTGAGGGGGCTTATAGCCATGGAAAGAATTAATGAGGAGAACATAACCTTTTTCCTGCCTTTTTCCCAGGAGTGCTTTTCTTTGCACTCCCTCCAAACTGACTGGCCACTTGTGTCTGGAGGTATAGCCAATTCCCTTTCTATAGGCAATTAATAAAGCGTAAATATCTGGCTCCACTCTTGCCAACAGGTGTATGCATGTTCCTGCTCGACCAGGAACACCTTTCTGCAGGCACATTACCAGCTGTGGGAGCTGTGGGAGTGAAGCCCTCATACATGGCTTGCATTGATCTGAGTACATTGCAAAGGCAATTTCCCTCTCTGAAAAAAATTACACCTTGAAATGCTAAGCAGCAAAGGTATTCTGTAGCAGCAAGTATACAGCTGAAATTTGGGGATAACTAGAAATGGGGGGATAAAAGACAAATTACCCCTTCTTGAATGTGTAAATACAAGATAGGCCAATGTAGGGTAAATCGTTTTTCAGTGATACATGTTTTGAACATGTGAGTTACACAGCAAGTAGGCAGAAGCTGCCCTGTACTCGGTATCAGCCTTGCTTCTGCAAATAAATCATTTGCCCACTCACTTTCTGGGGATGGGCATGGCCTGTGACAAAACGAGTGAGGAACCAAACCAAAGCCATCCAGGCCAATTAGACTCTGAGGATCTTGTCCCCTTAAGATGGAGCTGCTTAAACCAGCGTTGAGAAAGGACACAGAAAGGGAAACAAAATGGATGGAAAGGGAGTGCTAGCCGGCAGCGGGTCAACTCCTGGAGGGTGAAGGCAGCAGAGGCGGCTCTAATTACTGACTGCAGGGGTTTACAGCAAGGAGGGGAGGTGTGAATTACCTCCAGGGCTTGGCAGCAGCTCAGTGCCTTCAGCAGGAGGGAGGGTGAGTGGTGTTGACACCTCCATCCAGGCACTCAGTGCTGCTGCTCCGTGCCCACCCGGCAGAAAGCTGGGCTGGTGGCACACCGCAGGGCTGCACTGCGGCCCGGGAGTCAAAGGGAGGTCACCCTTTCAAAATGTTTGATAAATGCTGCCTTGGTGCAGTTAAGTCCCCCTGGGCTCGGTCCCCCAGGACAGCAATCCCTGGCATAAAGTTGTTTCAGCAAGGAGGGATGACATCAGAGGTGTGCAGAGCATCACTCTCCTTAAGGGCTAAATGGAGCGATACTTGAGCTGCCTGCCTGAGCACCCAGAATAGCACCTCCACCCTGAGTCCTCTTGCCTTTGGTAGTGTTACACGTGGATCAGTACTGCTCCACCAGCATCCAAACCCCAGCAATAAGGTGGGAAGTTTTGCATGTGTCCTCTAAGGACAGCATAACGACATGAATACGCTCCCTAGATTGAAAAAATAAAATAAAATAAAATAAAATAAAATAAAACAAAATAAAATAAAATTAAATTAAATTAAATTAAATTAAATTTAAAAGGCAAGCAGCAGAGTGAAGCTGAGTCCAACTTTGCCTTGGTGTGTGCAGATAAACCACAACTGAGTATGTAACGGTTGAGGTGAAAGGGAATAGATGATAGAAATGCAAACCCTTCATACATGTTGAAGGAGCCAAGAATCAGCCAGACAGCAACAATTCAACTCACCATCATGTAACTCCAGGGAATAAAGCTGCCCATTTCCTTTAAAGGAAGGTATTTTTTTACTATAAATGTATCAGTATTGAGTTCATTTGGGGATTTCAGGCAGGAAAAAGTGAGTCCTGGAGGTACCTCCTCTTAAAGAAAATCTAGTTTTCCTTTGCAAACCTAAATGTGAGGTTTGGGGTGTTTTTTTTTCTTCTTTCTTCTCTTGGGGTAGAAAGGTTTCTGGCAAGCAGCAGAGTGAATCTGAGTCCAACTTTGCCTTGGTGTGTGCAGATAAACCACAACTGAGTATGTAACGGTTGAGGTGAAAGGGAATAGATGATAGAAATGCAAACCCTTCATACATGTTGAAGGAGCCAAGAATCAGCCAGACAGCAACAATTCAACTCACCATCATGTAACTCCAGGGAATAAAGCTGCCCATTTCCTTTAAAGGAAGGTATTTTTTTACTATAAATGTATCAGTATTGAGTTCATTTGGGGATTTCAGGCAGGAAAAAGTGAGTCCTGGAGGTACCTCCTCTTAAAGAAAATCTAGTTTTCCTTTGCAAACCTAAATGTGAGGTTTGGGGTGTTTTTTTTTCTTCTTTCTTCTCTTGGGGTAGAAAGGTTTCTTACATTTGCAAATTATTTTCCCTCTTGTTCAATAAGTGCTTGTGGAAGAGGAGAGAAAGGTTTTGTCAAGAAAGTGTCATAGAAGGGGGCTTGAATTAACATAGTCTGAATTTGAGCCCCTAAAGAAATTACTGAATATTTTTACCCTCCACGTAAAACTTGGCTAATTGAAACATTTGCTAACAAGTGACAAGGGGACTTGAGAATATTCCCAAGAGCCAGGAAGAGGACTGGCAAAGTCAGTCCTTACCCACTCTAATTTTTTTAATAAAAGGGAATTTCTGGGGTGTGAACTTGGAATCTATCTTCATCTACTTTTTGGCATTCTTGCTTTATTTACATCAAGTTCTTGGCCTGCTGAAAATTTGGTGTGTTAAGCTGGGATGCAGGCTTACAGCTGCTCCTCAGGGGTCACCTGGGCTGTGCCAGCTCATCCCATGCTCACCCTTCCCCTGCGAGATGAGTTATTCCCACTAGCAGGGGAGAAGCCCCCCGGCACAGCCCTGCATCCTTCTTTCCAGTGCCCAACCCTGACACCACCATCTCTCCCACAGACGTACCGGAGGTGGAGCTCTGAAGGCCGGGGAGGGAGACGAGGCCACGATGCCCCCATGATTGCCTACGATGCTCTGCTGGGCTGTGGTGGAGACTGGACGGAGCTCTGCAATCGTTCCATGTTCCACGGAGGTGAGGACCTGCATGGATCCTGTCCCCAGCTCCCTCACCGAGGTGGGAGAGAGCCCTCCTGGCCGTCGGCTGCCACTGTTGGCCAATCTGCCATGCCGCCCATTATACCTCCACCCCTGGTTTTACACCCAAAACCCCCTTCTTGTGGTGGCAGCTGCCATGCAAGTTGTTCACACTGCTTTTCAAATGTTGCTCCAAGTCTCACGGTTTTGAGAGGTGCATAAAAAGTAAAACCAGGTGTGACTTAGTAAAGGGCTGGCATCTTCCCCTACCAAAATCATTGAATCAGAGAATAGTTTGGGTTGGAAGAGACCTTTAAAGGCCATCTAGTCCAATCCCCCTGCAATGAGCAGGGACATCTTCAACTAGACCAGGTTCTTCAGAGCCTGGTCCAACCTGATCCTGAATGTTTCCAGGGATGGGGCATCTACCACTTCTCTGGGCAACCTGTGCCAGTGTTTCACCACCCTCATCATAAAAAATGTCTTCCCTATATCTAGTCTACATCTTCTATCTTTTAGTTTAAAACTGTTATCCATTGTGCTGTCAAAACAGGCCCTGCTAAAAAGTTTGCCCCCATCGTTCCTGTAGGCCCCCTTTAAGTACTGAAAGACCACAATAAGGTGTCCCTGGGGCCTTCTCTTCTCCAGGCTGAACAACCCCAACTCAGTCTGTCCTCACAGCAGAGGTGCTCCAGCCCTCTGATCATTTTTGTGACCCTCCTCTGGACGTGCTCCACCAGGTGCACATCTTTCTTGTGCTGAGGACCCTAGAGCTGGACAGATGGGGTCTCTAGTGCCTTTGGCACATAGTGAAACCAAGAGAGCTAATTGTCCCTTGCTGTAGAGCCCTACAAACCCATGGGCACCACAGGGAGCAGAGGTGACACCCTTCAAACCCAAACCATTCTACGTTTAAAAGCGCATGCCGTGCTATGCCATGCTGTGCTACCAGGAAGGAAGGTGTACTCTCTAGTTCAGGACATTTGCCATGTGATAGGGACCCCTGGAACTACTCTTCTCTCCTTTTTCTCCTAGCAATGGCTAGCTGTTGCAAGAGCTATTATTAAAAAAAAAAAAAAAAGCCCAAACCAAACCAAATAAGCTCCTAGCTCAGGAGGACACGTCACCGAGGTGTCACCACATCCTTGCCTCAACATTGCTCTCTCCCCCAGGGACCCTCACTAGAGGCAGGACATGGGGTGGTGAGAACCTTCGAGACTGAGCCAACATGCCCCCACCATGCTCCAGCAGCAGCATGGTATTTCCTTCCCTATGCAGCATGGGTTTTGGTTGTGTGTGGGAAGGTGACTCTAAGAGACCATTCCAATTGTGCTTAAACCTGCAGGAGAAAGCGCGGCTACTGGGTCTATCGCTGGTTGCCTGTATGGCTTGGTTTATGGCCTAAGCAAGGTCCCCAAAGGCTTGTACCAAGACCTGGAGCAACGGGAGAGGCTCGAGTACTTGGGAGAGAATCTTTACCGACTATCCATGGAGGAAAAGTAATGCGTTTTCTGCCATTTTCTCTTTCTATAGAGACTATATCAAACCTTGTAGATATAACTGACTGACGTTCATAGCGAAGGAGTTAGCCAAGAGTTAGTCTGACAGGCCGTACGTAGATCGTGTGCAAGCAAAGGTAGCTGAATTATCCAAGACTGGTTAGATATTTATGGTCTTTGTGGTTTTTTTACAGGTGTAAGGATTTCTGAGTATAAAGAGTGCTGCTTAAACCAGTGAGATAATTTCAAATGGAAAAAAATAAATAAAACCTCTTTTCATTGACTTCAGTCTAACTTGCTATAATACCACTTCCTTAACAGACGTGACCAGTAATTACACATATGAAATTAATTTTCAGAACTAATGCTTTCCTGCAAAACTAATGGTAGCATCCACTTATGGGGATATTCTCTGTATATTTGACAATCCTCTCACTACTGCTGTTTCTCCTTGTTCTCAAATCTAATGTGTCTGTGACACTTGTAAATCTAATGTCTCACGGATTAGCTTTTAATGAATCACTGATCCCTGCATCAGCACTGTGGTGCAAGGTAGTGTTACATTAGAAGCTTCCAGAAAAGGAAAAGCCAACACTAAAAATACCCACAAGGAACAGCAAAGCATCAGTGTGTCTAAAATTTCTGAATTACACTTTTATTATTCTTCAGTCTTCAAAACAAATGTGTTTTTTTAAATATAACTGGCTGAAATATTTGTAAATAAATTGATCTTATACTATTTTCTAAGCATCATTCTTTATTTTTAGATTGAACAGATTATATGTTGCTGTATCAGTGTCAGAATTTTTGGCTGAGGTCTTCAAGCAGTTGTAATAGGTCAACAGTCAGGCTGTGATGCATTTCACAAGTCTGAACACCACAAAAACCCCAGAAAGAAAACAGTTACAATAGCTTTACCTTTTTTCCTCTTTCTTTTTTTCCATTTCCCACTTATTTCCCTTTTCCCCTTTTTTCCTTTTTCCTCCTGCCTTGCCTCACCTCGTTTTGCCTTGCTTCCCCTTGCCTCTCCAACTTCAAATTTTTCTTTTTCTTTCTCTTTTTCTTCTTTCTCTTTTCTCCTTTCCTTTCCTTTCCTTTCCTTTCCTTTCCTTTCCTTTCCTTTCCTTTCCTTTCCTCTCCTCTCCTCTCCTCTTCCATTTCTCTTTTATTTTTCAAGAAAACCAACAAACTATGATTCAGTGAGAAGTTGTATATAACAGACAAAGTAAACAGTAGACCTTGGTGAAGGAAATTCTGTTGCACCTGCAGCAGCACGGGCAGAAATCTGGAATTCTCAATGAAATAACACAGAAGAAGTGAGGGTAAAATTTGTCCTTGGTGTTTAACCACACAAGTTCAGAAACTGAGGTCTACTTAGCACTTTCTAATCTTCAGCCTGAGTGATTGCCTCCATGGTGTTGGTTTCTCCTGTCTTTCTCCAGCTGTTGAACTGCATTTTAAAAAGATAGCTAAAAATACATAAGTACTTTCCTAGCCCTTTTTCCATGTAAACAATTGCTGGAATCGTCACTGGGATGCTATGTGGCAGAAAGAGGAGCAGGTGATCCTTGTCGTTATGAATAGCAGCCTGCATGACAATATCCATATGAAAAGATTTTCCATACTATGAGCTACTTCGAACACTGTTTGAGCATGTTTTCTCTTTGCAGCTTCGCAAAGTGCTTTCTTGTTTGCTTTGGAGATACGGTAAACCAAAAGGAGTATTTATGTCAGTAGCCTTTCATTTAAGAGAATATCAAGACCTTCTAAAAACATTCCTTCTAGTTTAGGATGTTTCTAACATATATCTGTAATAAATTCAGCAGTAGAGAAGAGAGAAGAACATATCCTGCATAAGGTAGGATTTTCTCTAGTACTTCGGCTTTTCCTCTTCCTTTATAAAAAAAAAAATCACACAAAAAAATGAAGAGCATTCATAAGTATTCCCACTTTACCTTCTACCCAGGCTGGGGAGGACCGAGTTTGTTTCAGAGACTAAGATAATCTAACTTAAAAGGCAGTTCCCAAAGACTGGACTTGTAAAGCACCATTTCTGCAGTTGTTGAGGCAAGCAGCGTGTTGGCCATCATTTCACTGACAATACTAAAAAGGCCTGTGCATTGGTCCAAGTGGGAAGAGCTGCTCCTGGTTTCCTTCCTTAGCTATGGGCAGCTCTTTGAACCAAACACCATCAGACCTGGGTAGCAACAGAGATGCCCGGGGATGAGGGGGCCTATGGGATGCAGCATCTTGTGTGCTCCAGCTCGTGGCCATTTCCCCAGCGCCAACCGACAGAGAGGCAGAGCAACCCATTGATCTCTGGCACCTTCTGCAATTTAGACAGTGTTTTCCAATGTTTTCCTTGTCTTTTGATGAAGTCTCCATAGCACTGCCTCCTCCTGCCCATGCCCTGTCCTGAGTACTGCCCCCATAGCAGCTAGTCCTTCAGGTTCCCAGGCTGTGCAAAATAGTGGTCAGATATTTAACAGGTAATTTGGGGTCAACCAACAGGGTCTTCTCTTCTCACACCAGAGACCATAATCCAGAAACTCCTTCAGCTGTATGCTTTTAACAAACGCCAGGGGATGCCACCACCCGCAGCTACTAAGCAGCTTCCAGGGCCCTTACAGAGGAGAAAGGCGTGTGTTGGTGCAGAAGAAGGGTGAAGACAGGGCTGGGGGAGAGCTCCAGCTCCTTTCCCTCTGTCACGGCCCATCGGCTCTCCTCCGCTCCGTAACACAACGGTGGCTGCTGCTGAGGTTTCCCTGGTCTGGGCCAGCCAGCGGGATAGGGTTGCACTGCCGCCCGTTAGCATATCAGCCTGTTGCCACCTTGATGCTGCCATGATAAGTGTCACCAAAGAACCTATAAATAAATAACTAAGCTGCCTGTCTTATGCATCTTAATTATTCACGGGCCAAGAAGACAGGAAACTTTTGAAGGTGGCGTTGCCTCCTCTGGAAGTCCAAGCGGAAAACGATGCAGCAGTGCAGCAGCACCCCAAGGCAGCACCATGCACATTAAAAACAGTGGAAACCAGCATCTCCAGGGGAGGAGAGGGGCAAGGAGGTTGAAGTCCACGTTAGGCCATTTCACAGCATCAGTGAGGAGCCCAAGAATCTGCCTTGTCATCTGGTGGGAAATGACTTCCACTAGCATGGGGATCTTCCTTGTGCACTGGGGGTACCTGCCTGGTTCCTCCCAGCCATAAGTGGGACTAGAGTTGACTATCTGTAGTTGATATAGAGATGACTATGTATCCCTGATAGGTCACATAGTTAAAGAACAGCAGGATACAATTTGGGAAAAGATGGTGAAGAAATATTAGGGATGATGTCTTGGTCTGTTGAAAATTGTGGTCATGCTCCCGAACCTCAGAAACTCTCCACATTCACCCTCCTTCCCCAAGCTGGAAGCATGGTGTTTTCCAAGCATTGGGACAACACAATCTCACCACTACCTACATTTTCTGTGGTGGTCTCAGGATTTAGTGTCATTGTACCACAGCCCTTGCACAGAACGCATTTCAGATTTACACAGTCATGATGCTGGTTTGCAGTCATAATCATCTTGGAAGAACTGCAGATGCCCTAAAAAAGGTGCCATAGCTGTTTGCTCATCTACTGCTCCTTGCTGGTGAATATGGATCAAGCACTCAATCCATGCAACATCTCTTGGTACTTAAGACAATGCAGTGTTCTCACAAGTGCCTTTCAGAAGGCATCCTATAAGAATGCTCTAACATATATTTCACCAAAACCATAAAAGGAAAACTCTGAACGGAGCTGACTAGTAATATATTCTAATGAAGCTATTCGAATTTTATAGCTCATAAGTGATTAATTGCCTTGAATACTCATAGTAAAAAGAGTTTGATCTTCTTCCCTTCACAATCAATAGTAGTTTGGCTACGCTGACCCACTGAAAGAAGGACTAGTCCATATTCTACCGTGGACATTTATTGTATCCAAAGTAGTTCAAATGGGAGAATTAAGCAGAGCATCTGGTTCTACTGCTGTGCTGAGAGATCAGAGGCTGCCCTAAATCACGCTGGTTGAGATGGCCCTATGCGTGTTTCTGAACACACCAGGCACTTCTAAGGGAGGAGAGGAGCGATCTTCTGCCATGGCAATGTTTCATTCAAAATATCAGCACGCTGGCTATAGGAGGGAAGGTGAACCAGGATATTTTTAGGCTCAGGTATACCCTGAATTCTATTTTTTATCTTTATTCTGAAAATTCCCATAGTTGGGACAAACAAGGATCTTGGTGTAACACATAACAACCTTTCTTCCTTGGCTGTGGTCAATTCAGTAAGGGAAGGGTAGGTGTTACCACACTGTGCATGTGGGAGCATGCACCTGTGCTATGCTGAAACGTGGTTATTCCCAATCAACACCTACAAAGCATTGTTTGTCACATTAGACATGGGCCAGTTGTCACGCTTCTTTCTTTTATTGGCCTTTAAAGATATCTACAAAGTCATTATAAATAGACCTTCTTCCATTCAAGATGGCAACTTCATCCTGCTGCTGAGGGATGTAATTTTCAATATGTGCACTTGAAATGCAGCCAAGTGGAATCCAAATGTCACTACCCGACTGGACAAGGACCAGTTTTCCCCCGCCCCTTTGCAAACAGCCCCCATAATATCACAGTGGGGGCCTGGGTCCAATTTCTTTCAGAGCCCATGGGGTACCAGCTGCTGGGGCACAGCTGGGCCTTCCCCAGCCTTTCCAGGCTGACGCTCCCTGAAGGATGAGCCTCTTTGCAGCCTTTCTTCATTTCCTAGATGTGGGCTTAATTTAAAGAATTTTTTATTCCACTTCTGCTCATAAAAAGTAATCCCCTCCCGGTATGCAGGCTGCATTCTGTGAATGAAGCTATTTCACTGCATGGTGAAGTAACCTTCCAGTTTTTCGTGGTGTCAGAAAGCCGACACCTCTTGGGTTTTTTCCCTCCTAGCCCCATCTATTGTTATTGACTTAACGTTCCAGCTTTTGTGCTGAGTTCAGTATTTTATTTAGTAACTGATCCACGCCAATTAAAACGTTGCCTGAATCCCCAGCTGTCCAAAGGCCTGATTCTTCAAACCCAAGTGTAGGCCCAGCATATCAGCCTTCTTGCTCCAGATTAAAGGGGGTTGTAGTCAAGGGACGTTGCCAGGTTTGTGGTGGTGGTGCTACGCTTCACAAAGTGGATTTAAGACCATAGTCCTGATGTAGGTTTCGAATGCAGTTACAAAGCAAATCATGCAAATCCTGTGGTGTTTTTTTTTCATTCTGGAGAGGTACCTACTGACTTCTAATCTATACCAATAGCAAAAACTATCAGTGGCATATTTGTGCCCCTCAGCCTTGATATTTTAATGGTTTGAGTCTATTTTTATAACCCAGAGGCAGAACCATGTTTTTCTGCTAAATGTGTTCTCATCATATTTTTCTTTGCCTGCACTTCACCTAGCAGGAGAGGAAAACACCTTCGATGTTGCCCTGGCATTAGGACACGGTAACACTAAATGAGTGAGGAGTGGCACAGAGGAGATGCAGTCACCCCAACTAGCATTGCTTGCTCCCCTAAGTGCTTCCACTGGCCACAAAACCCAGAAGAAAGAGCCAACGGTGCCATGTGGGACCATGTGAAGCCCTGCACGCTCCCGCTACACCATGCCTCACGAAGCTTGTAAAGCACTTTGCATGCTTTTTAACAGGCCACTAATGACAACTCTCTTGAGAAGTTCTAAATCAAAGTATTTTTTTCCATTTTATGCACGGCAGCATGCCATTAAAGCAAAATAAGGAGGTAGTGGCAATGTCGATGACTTGAAAAGAACATTCGTATTTTCTCTTGCGCAGCACCAAAAGCCCACGCTTTTGCGGAGATGATAAGATGCTGGTAGACCCTTTGGTGCTGAAGAAGAAGCTCAATAGGATGGCGACAGAGCAAGGGGCCTTTGCTGTTCTCAGCAGCCTGCTGCTGTACGTCACCGAGCTCGCAGCCGGCGATCCCCAGCTCAGCAGCAAGAGGACAAAATGGGCAGAAGGTAAAGAAAACAAGGTGAGTCATAACCAGCCATGTCCAGGTCCAAACAGGGGCCAGCATCCGACCAGATTTCAGCTCCTGAGGTCCAGGTTTCTAAACAACAATCGCGAGCCGTACACCAAGAAAAGAAGAGAAGTCGGCAAACTGGTCATTAAAGAGAAGCTGTGGGTGAGCAGGGCTGGTAACAGAGACAGGAAAGGAGATGGAAAAGCCACGGAGGAGGATGCAGACACAGCGCCCAGCGAGAGGGCCAGGTGGAGCAGCGCCAGTGGGAAAAACACAGTGAAGAACATCCTGAAGAAATTTTTAGCTGCCGAAGAAGCCAAGGAGAAGTCTCCCAGCTGGAAAAAGAAGGGGCCCGACAGTGGTTTGCCGAAAATAGTCAACAGGAGTTCAGTCCTGTCCAAACTGAAGGAGCAGTTTGAGCAAAGCGCTCTCTGCTCGGCCGCAGAGGTGAAAGCATCGCTTCTGCGCAAAGGGGAGAAGAAGACGAAAAACTTCCCAAGCAGAAAAACTATTCGTAAGCCCGAGGTCAGAGTGCTGCGCACGGCAGCAATGACAGCCACAGGTATAAAGAACCCAGAGTCCCAATATTTAGTGTGCTCCATGGTCCCGGTGCCCAAACTCAGCATGGCTACCAAAATCAACCATCCTTGGAGCTGGTCAAAAAACAACACTGCAATGCAGCCTTTTGGTCATGACACACCAATGAAGGAAAAGGCGGGGTCTGACAGAGACCCTGGTGAAAAAAAACCACCAGCAAATGCAGCACAGGACAGAGAGGACAAAGAAGAGTTACTGGTCGCACCCAAGGTCATGTCTGATGCAAAGGATCATGCTGAGGCTAAAATAGATTCCACAAAGCAAGGACCGAACTTTAACCCTAATCTAGATAGCTCTTCTACTACCTGTAAAAACAAAGCTCTTGCAGACTGCGTTCCTCCCTCATCTGAACATAGTCTAGGCAGCGACAGGAATAACACGCCATCTGGGCCTGATACATCTTCACTACCAGGGTTTACCAATGCTGTGCAACACGTTAACGAAGGCATCCCACCTTCTAACTCGCCTCCCTCTAGCACAGCTGAAGGATCTCATGAACAAAGCCTTCAGGATACTAAAATGGGTGAGATTCCTGAAATAACCATGTACGTATACAGTTCAGAGGAAGCTGACACAGAACTCTCAGAACCAGAAAAGGATCCTTTCTTTGCAGGCCAAAAATGTTTTCCAGAGCAGAAAGCAATGGAAAACATTCTGCCATTTCACTCTCCAGGAGTTCAAGCATTTTGTGAAATTGAGCCTCCAATGGAGGATTGGCTGCTAAGTGTCTTAACACCAGCTTCTGGCAAAAAGCCGCCAATAGTCCAAAAAGAGGCACCAGGTTTAAGAGGAAGATGTTCTGAGGAAGCCAAAGAAGGAGTGAATTATCACAGTGAAGACAAAATGTCCTCTAAATCTAGCAAAAATGATGGTGATGTCCCAACTATAAAGGAAGAGGAGAATAAAACACCAAACAGCCAGATGCAAAATGAATCCAAAACCAAGCACCCACAGCCTCCCCAAGTGCCCAGCACACAAAATAACTTTGGTAATTCCAGTCCTGACATATCAAATTCAGATGTAAATCAGACCGAAACCCCTCTCTCTTCAAATGAGAACCAGGATCAGAATCCTGGTGCTGCAGAAGACCACATATCTTCTTATTTGGAAAAGACACAGAGCGCTTTGCCAGGCGACCTTGTGAAGCACAGCTTCTACTTTGCAGATGAAGATTTTGGGAAGGAGAAATTATCTTCATCAAATGAAATGATGAATCATGCCCTGGGCAAGAGTACCTTGACTGACCTGGAGACCTGTCACAGTCAATCTAAATCTTTCATTGAGTGTGAAGAGTCCACAGCAGATGAGATGCCCTGGCCTGACTCTGAGGCATGCCAGTCACCCTCATCAAACCCTTTACCAACACCAATGAGTGGGATTGCAGGACAAAGAATCCATCACACTCTTGGAAATCCCCCAGCCCTTCCACCTATTGATCTGGTGAGACGAGGAGCTGGTGGTGTGGAAGATGAGCGTACCAGCCATGGATGTGAGAAGCACCCACTACCCTCTTCAGATGAGCTGACAAACTGTGGAAATGATACTATGGTGGAGAAGAAAATTGAGAAAACTGCATGTGATTTCAAGACCCAAGTGCCATCCCCAAATAATGCAACAGAAAATGAAAACTCTACAGCTGAAGAGACAAATACATGTCAGAGCATTGAGAATTATCTTTCACTTTCAACCAAGGAGCCAGGAAAACATGAAAATAAAACCGCACTAGCAAGAAAGCCCCTATTACTTGTGGAGAAGAACCGAACACCAACTTCAGATGATACCATGAAGCAAGGAAATGATATGCTGGAAGAGAACCTATTTCCTTCCTCAACTGAATTGGTCGCAGACCGAAAGAAGCATGCAAATGGTAGTGATCAATTCTCCAGACATAAAAAGGATAAGCTCTTGTCATCAGATGATGACATGAAGCATGAGAATGATAAGACGGATACAGAGGACAGAGAAGAGAGAAATGCCTTGCATAAATCTGAGGAGGAACACATATCCACACCAAGGGATACAATGGATCATGATTATAACTCTTCAAATGAGGAGAATGCTCATAGACCTCAGACATCCCAGTTTCCTTCATCAGAGCATGATACCAACATTCAAGGAATGAAAAATACTGAGCAGAGTTTGAAATGTCTAACACCTTCAAGAGATGTTGTGAAACACGAACATGATCTGACAGTGGATGAAAACATCTACTGCAATAATAGGAAACACAACCTGTCTTTATCAAATGAACCAATGAAACGTGCAAATGGCGGTGCAGAGGAAAGAAACATCAAGTCAAACTTCAAGAATTATTCAATGCCAACAACAAATACATCAAGTCAGGACAATAAGACCACTGATGAGGAGAAATTCCCTACTAATTTGAAAAAAGAACTGGTGCAGGATAAAAAGGTTGGTGAAGGAGAAAGAAATACTTCATGTGATCCTAAAAATCAAATACCATCACCGAATCCATTGGTGAAGCAAGACAATAAATCATCCCCTCTAGAGACACAGAAGCAGATGTCACCAGGTGACTTGGTAAAGCCTGAAACTAAGTCAGATGAAAAAAAGACTAAACACACCTCTGAGAAGCTCCAGTCACCTTCTGAAAAAGTGCAGAAGCCTCAAGAAAGAAGGTCTTCAGGAGAGAGGAAGCAAAAGACAGCAGCAGCGGAGGACACTGGGTCACCTGAAACAAAGGCTGTGAAAGAGGATAATGAGCACCAGCGTTCTGGGAAGTACCAGCTACCTCCTTCAACAAAATCAGCAAAGCATGAGGAAAACACTCCAGGAGGAGACAAGCAGCAAACGAGATGTGAAGAATTTATGACAACTGATACAAATACTGCAAAAAAGAAGAACAAATTTCCAAGTTCCAGGAAGTACCGATCCATATCATCAGAAATATTGGTTACACCTCAAGAATTAAATACCACAGAACAAAAGCAACAAACACCACCTTCTGAAAGCTTTAAGAAGCCTGGTACTAATGCTGTAAAAGAAAAAGATGAAGGTCCAAACTCTGAGAAGGCACCCTCTTCAAAGAAAGTGGTGAAGTCCCACGAAAAAAGTACTTCAGGAGACAGAAAGCAAAAGACACCAGGGGCAGAGGACATTGGGTCAACTGAAGCAAAGGCTGTAAAGGAGGATGATGAACACCAGTGTTCTGGGAATCATCAGTTACCTTCAAGTAACTCATCAAAGCCTGAGAAAAATCCTTCAAGAGGAGAAAAACAAAAAACTGTATATGAAAGTTTTACAAAGCCTGATGCTGTAAAAGATAAAAGTGAAGATTCAGGTCCTGGGATGTGCCAGTCCCCGTCTTCAAATTTGCTGATGAAGCCTCAAGACAAGAACACCACAGCCAAAAAGAAGCAATCGCCACCACCACCCGATGAAGAAACAACGTATAAAACTGGTAGTGCAGAAAAGAGGAGTGGACCTGAGAGAAGAGAAAAATACCAGCCACGCTCTTCAGCTCAATCAGAGAAACACAGCAGTGATGGCTCAGGAAAGGAAGGCCCTGTGGGTGACTTCAAGAGCTATCAAACTCCATTGCCAAGTGATGACATAAATAGTAAGAGCAATACTATCCCAAAAGAGACCAGTTTGTCTAATACAGAGAAGTCCCTCAAATCATCCTCATTTCTTGTTCCATCAAAAGATGAGGAAAATCCTGCTGGAAATAGAAAAAGACAGCCTGGATTTAAAAAGTACCAAGTACTCTCATCAAAGAATTTGGTGAGGCATGAGAAAGATGTTGCTGAAAGGGAGGGGAGCTGGCAGGCAGCTGGCAAAACAAATGAGAGAAAAGCAGAACTGGAGGACTGCTCTAAAGCAGCGTCATTCTCAAAATACACAGTGGAAAGCTACAGTGAAGGACCCTTAGATTCATCTTTCAAACCATTGATCATTAGAGTAAGTGACACATTTAAGCATCACAGCTAAAAAATATGGCTACAGCTTAGGCAAGAACTTACAACTGATTGTGCCATTGATCCTCTCAATCTTTCTTTTTTTCTTTACTCTCCAGGGCATTATATTATCATTTTTTAATCACAAGGACATTGATGTGCATCTATCTGAGCTGGGCTTTTTTTCTTTCTTAAACATTAGCCTGAAGACATGAATTAAATTAATCACTGCAAGTGAATTAGCTAATCACTGAATTAATCATCAGTTTATAAATTAAATATGAGAAGGGCTTTGAGATCAGCGTGAATTCAGCCCCGCTCCAGACTCTCCTTGCTAACTAATGGGTTTTGTTTGTAACAAAGACAACTGTTCAGGGTGAACTTTATTTGTGTTTACTTATTCTAATGAAACTCCAGTAGTACTTTTTCCAGGAATGGTGGTAGGCAGTGTCAGCTTTAATTATGTCAAAAAGCGCTTGTTCTGAGCTCTGCCTTTTCATGTATTAATGGGAACTGTTGATCAATTGCTGCACTGAGTGATGCTGTTAGTAGAAGTAGTGAGGGAGGGAGGGAGGGGAACGCTTCATTTATTTGCAGAAAAGTCCTCAAAGAACACTGATGCTACAAGAAGATTTACCATGAATGCAAATGTTCAGCCTCATTAATATTAATATTGGAAAAAATGGTGATTTAACTTCCTCTGAAGCTACTTGCACTTTGGCCATACGCTGTATGCGCTATTGTTGTAAAGATGCACCATTTCAAGGGGTTCTTAATTACCGCAGATTGAACATGCAACAAGTGTAAGAGCTCAGAAAAGCCTGACACTGAAGGGCCCTGAGGACCTCTCCTGAGAACAATGTTAACCAGAAAGACTCAACAGCTTGCCAGGGCAATTCAGCTCTTCCTGGGACATCTGTCCCACTGAATCTCAAGGCACACAGACACGAGGCAGGTGCCGCAGATCACATTTAAAGTCTTAGGAAGTGTTTATTTTACAACGCAACGTGAAACGGAGCAGTAAGAAGCAGCCAGTGTCACCGAATCCTGTTCTGGGGATATGATTTCTTTTGTGTTCACAGTAAGAGCAGCTTCTGCACAAAGTTTGCACGTAACAAGTGTTGTTTTGGAGACGTGAGAGCAGAGCTGCTGCCTTTGGTGGTGTAGTAAAGCAGTGATAGACAGAAAAATCTTACAGCACCACTCTCCCGTACACCACTTTAGCTTAGTGTCGTAACCACACATTCAAGTTAAAACTTACTGCCGAGGAACCCCAAAGGCATATCCTAAGGACCCACCTTCACAAAGTTGCAGAGCTACGCAGAAAGATAGAGGTTTTTACACAAATGAGGTCCTGCTCCCCCATGGCAGTGACTTCCCTTCAATTTTTAAGATGCTCTCCGTGACCATACTCCATGCAGCTGAGGGCTGGCCGTTCCTACAGCCCAGGTTGGCAGAGTGCCCCGACCCACTGCCAGCAAGGGAACGAGGACAAGAGCAGGCTGGCAGCAAGCTGAGGTCAAACCCATTTGCCAGCACAATGCACACAAGTCACATACGTGACAACTGGGCTGGCCCGACTGGGGACACTGCCGGGAGGAAGAGGGGGGATGAACATCACATGCCCTGACGGTTGAAGAGGTTTAGACTTTGATTTCTTTTCCTTCATTTTCTTTTCTTTTCCTTTCCTTTCCTTGGTATTCCATGCCAAGAATTAGGCTTTCTGGCATCTGGAGCCTCACAAAATGAAAATCACATATGTATATCACACTGGTCCTCAAAACAGAGGCTAAACAGAATTTATTGGTGGTACAAGACTGCCCTTCTGTGCAGAGGTGTGCTTCACCTGCTGCTTTTATGAGCTGGCAACCATAAAGGCCACTTTGTACTTAACCTAAACTGTAATTTAGATTTTATTGTCCATGATTTCATTTCCCATTTGAGAAAAGCTCTTACAACATAAAGCTTTTGCACTAGACTTGAATAGTAAATTTTCTATTAGCTGGCCTCTCCTGCTGGCAGAGGAGAAACCGCTTTAATTATTGTTTTTCTAATCTTTTAAAATAAATTTAAAGGTTTTCTCTTTTTACCCCTTATTCGCACCTGGAAAGATCACTACTCTGTCACAAATTAAAGGACTTCTGTCTGCCAGACATTAAGCAGGTGCCTGCCAGGAGAGCTAGCCAGTGTGTACCAGGAGGCCCTCAATTCTTCCAATTTACATCTGCAATGTCTATTTTTCTCAATAGAGATACAGCAGTAAGAGACGCCAGCACAGCACCCTGTGTTCAGGACGAGTCAGGCAGAGTCATCTTGTGGGGTTAAATTTCAGGTTGTTGCATGCCTTAATCTCTGCTGGTAAGACATAAATCATCCAGCCAAGTCAACTGACTGTTCCTCCCTGAAGTGCACTTAAAACATGACAGAGATTTGCATTAAATGCCTCCTTAAGGGTAATGTCTCACATAAGCAAGTCACGGAGTTTCACTTCAGGAGTTAACACAATTAATCCTCCAGGAAAGGAGAGAGTGAGGCCATACTAATTCCAGTGGTGATGGCTAGAAGAGCAGTAGAAGACTGGTGTGACTTACAGTCAACAGCCCCAAACAAGCTACTCCAGACCATGTTGACAAGAAATTTAGCACTGGTGAGAAGGAAAGAAATGCCAGAAATGGGTATTTCAGAAAGAGCAAGAGTTGAAGGAGGAGTACGCAGATCTACATCAGCTGTGCCAGGAAGTGTGCAAATGGCCAGGCTCGAGCACTGGTGAGACCCTTGCCCAGGGGAGATACACAAACAGAAAGCAAAGTTTCATTCCCAGTCTCCAGCGGTCCTTCCCAGTCTCCTTCACCCCAGGAGGAGAGGCCCTGTCCCTCTACTCTCCTTTAAGCACATTTCCCACCCCGCTACAGGAGAGGCAGCGTCAGGAGCCCTCCCTGACCCCTATTTCACATCGTCTGACCTAATAGATATTTTTGATGCTTCTGCCAGTGTATCCTCTTGGCTTTCGTAGTTTTGCACAATGGGTATAATTCTGTACAGTTCTGTCCTCCATCACTCCTTTAAGCACATTTCCCACCCCGCCACAGGAGAGGCAGCATCAGGAGCCCTCCAGACTCCTATTTCACATTGTCTGACCTAATAGATATTTTTGATGCTTCTGCCAGTGTATCCTCTTGGCTTTCGTAGTTTTGCACAATGGGTATAATTCTGTACAGTTCTGTCCTCCATCACACTACAGCCCTCTGTTTTGCCAACATGCATCTTTCAAGGCAAGCATCTGGGGAACCTGCTCTAGTTGGGGGTATCCCTAATGACAGTGGGGAGGTCGGACTAGATGACCTTTGGAAGTCCCTTCCAGCCTGGACCGTTCTATGATTCTATGATTCTACCTCTCAAGGTCACCAAAGGCATTAGGTCCATAGGCTGCACTAAATACAGAAGGATTTTTTTTTTTGCAGTTTTAGTAATGCTTCCTTAAAGCCCTGGCTTAGCTATGGGTACAGACAATCAAAACCAGGCCAAGCACACAGAAAATAAAGAAAAAACATGGCCCAGGTATAAACAGTTTTGCAAGGTTGCCTCTCTGTGGCGACATAGTTCAAAATTTCAGATTCTTATGGAATTATCCTCTCATAAAGAGAGATTTTTTTAAGGGGATTGGGTAAAATGAATGACAGTGTCATTTTCCCAGGCACAGCCCGTTGCTTTGGATTCTCTAAAGTGTAGCTTTCCAGGAGTTTTTGAAAACCTAAATAAAGGAGGTGTTTAAGATTTTAAGACTCTGAGCTGGACCTGGGGCACCTGAAGGGTCCCAGCTGAAGAGGCAGGTCTGAGGGGGTTTCAGTGGTAAGTGGTGGGGCAGAGTTCTGGGCAAGCAGAGAAACCAGGCAGGCTCCCAGTAGCAGCCGTCAATAAAGTTTTTCAAATTTTTTATGTCTTCTCTAGTTAAATCTCCATAATTAAGTCTCCCCGAGCACCTCACATCGTCAGGACACCTCTCAGATGGGCTTAGTGACATGGGATTCACAAAAGGATCGGTTTGGGGTGATTTGGATAGCCAAGCATGGCCCCAAACAAACTGCATAGTGGTCCCTTTCCTGCAGTTGAAGACGTGGCCATCATCTCCAGCAGCCCCGTTCATCCTCCCCCATTTCTGACTGAAGGACAAACCTCTGCCTTTGGTCCCCAAACTCAGCACTAGGTCAACTGCCCTGGGATGTGCCTCACTCTCCCTCCATGTCCTTCAGCAACGCAGACCTCGACTGAGGCACCTGCAGCTGAGCAGGACAAACCCAGGCCTCAGAGTCCCAGCTTTGTAAAGAGACTGCCACTTTCTCTAAAAGTTTCATTAAGTGAATGTGATGCCCGTATTTCTCAGGCTTCAGGCACCGAGAGAGCTCAGAGGGATCAGGGGAAGGGCTGAGAGCTCCCTCTCCCTCCTCAACTAAGAAGGGGCCACTAAACTGTGTTAGGAGCCTTGTCTCTATGGAACTGTAACAAAGAGCTCCCGCTTACTGATTTCTTTTGTTTTGATTTAATTGAAAGAGGGCTTATAAAGCATAGCTACTCTCAGCAAAAAGAGCCCAAGCCCTGAGAAGGTTTAGCAACTGGAATAACTCAGGCTAGTGCTATATCATGAGAGATGACCTGTCCACATTAAAATGAGGAAATCATAGAATCATAGAATGGTTTGGGTTGGAAGGGACCTTAAAGATTATCTAGTTCCAACCCCCCTGCCAGGGGCAGGGACACCTCCCACTAGAGCAGGTTGCTCAAAGCCCCATCCAGCCTGGCCTTGAACACCTCCAGGGATGGGGCCTCCACAACTTCCCTGGGCAACCTGTTCCAGTGCCTCACCACCCTCACAGGAAAGAATTTCTTTCTAGTATCAAATCTAAATCTCCCCTCTTCTAAATCTTCCCCTCTCCCAACCCCAACTGCCTCAGCCTGTCTCCATAGCAGAGTTGCTCCAGCCCTCTGATCCTCTTCGTGGCTCTCTGCTGGACCTGCTCCAACAGGTCCATGTCCTTTCTATGTTGAGGACTCCAGAGCTGGACACAGTACTCCAGGTGGGGTCTCACGAGCACAGAGTAGAGGGGCAGAATCACCTCCACCAACCTGCTGGCCACACTTCTCCTGATGCTGCCCAGGATCCCCCAACCTGCACAATTCTTTTGATGCAGCCCAGGATGCGGTTGGCTTTCTGGGCTGCCAGTGCACATTGTTGGCTCATGTTGAGCTTCTCATCCATGAGCACTCCCAAGTCCTTCTCCTCAGGGCCGTTCTCTAGCCATTCTCTGCCCAACCTGTATTTGCACCTGGGATTGCCACATCCCAGGTGCAGGACCTCCCACTTGGCTTGGTTGAACTTCATGCGATTTGCACAAGCCCACCTCTCCAGCCTGTCCAGGTCCCTCTGGATCCCTTCAGTGTGTCGACTGTGCCGCAGAACTTGGCGGTGTTGGCAAACTTGCTGAGGATGCACTCTATCCCACTGTCCATGTCTCCAATAAAGATGTTGAACAGCACTGGTCCGAGTATGGACCCCTGA